CAGCCCATGACTGTGTTACAACTACCAATTTGTATTTCTCGATCCCCTCAGCTTTTTCACTCAGTCTCCCATCCTGGCTCCCGGGGGTCGCAAAGCACAGAGGCAGCAGCAGGCTGGGTGCAGGGGTCAGGGCTCCTGGGCAGAGGGCGAGGAGCCTTTAACCCTCCCTGTGCCTCTCTCTCCACAGAGGCAATCATGCCACGGTAGGGATTGGTGGGCGGCTTGAAGGACTGACCAAGGACCTGCAGCAACTGCAGGAGAATGAGCGGCAGCTAGACCACCTGATCCAAGTCTGCACCACTCAGCTTCGGCTGCTGTCTGAGGATGCCGACAGCCAACGATATCCTTGACTGTGGAGGGCGGGCCTGGCGGGCTGGGCCCCCACCCCAGTGAACGGGAGAGGCTATCCCAGGCCCCGGATTCAGGAGAGAGCGAGCTTTGGCTGTACATGCAAGTCCTGGCTCAGCATTGACTCCCTGAACAAGTTAATCTCTCTGAGTCTCAGCTTCATCTCCAAAAGGAGGAACAAGCCCAGTTCCAGAACTGCTAAATTAAAACAACAACAGGCACTTAGTACAGTGATTCAATTCATGGTTGTAGCTTCAGGATTAGAGATACCAATTTTAAAAAATATATATTTTATTGATTTTTTACAGAAATGAAGGGAGAGGGACAGAGAGTCAGAAACATCGATGAGAGAGAAACATCGATCAGCTGCCTCTTGCATGTCCCCCACCGGGGACGTGCCTGCAACCAACTTACGTGCCCTTGACCGGAATCGAACCTGGGACCCTTCAGTCCGCTGGCCGACGCTCTATCCACTGAGCCAAACCGGTTTCGGCAGAGATACCAATTTTTATCATTCATAAAAATAGAAACTTTATTTTGAAATAAGCTTTTTTTTTTTTTTTTTTTTTTTCCTTAAGTGAATACCCAAATTATATTTATAAATTTTGGAGACAACCACTAATTGACAACATGCTCATGAGTCAGAATAAATTCTTGACGACAGATGTGGAAACTGAGGCTCAGGGCCACAAGAAAGGCTTGAACACAAACTGGGTGTCAGGTGACGGATGGAGAGGACAGGAGTGACTAAGCAAGTGTGGGTGCTACCTTAGATGCCTGAGTGGTGGCCTGCAGAGGTCAAAGGTTATGTGGTTCTTTTTTTTTTTTTAATTTTTAAATATATTTTATTGATTTTGTACAGAGAGGAAGAGAGAAGGATAGAGAGTTAGGAACATCAATGAGAGAGTCATCGATCAGCTGCCTCTTGCATACCCCCTACTGGGGATGTGCCCGCAACCAAGGTACATGCCCTTGACCGGAATCGAACCTGGGACCTTTCAGTCCCCAAGCCGACGCTCTATCCGTTGAGCCAAACCGGTTTTGGCAGGTTATGTGGTTCTTGACTCCCCCAACCCTGGCCTATGTGACTTGCCAAGATCTTCGTAGCATTGCAGACCCCGCTGAGGAGATGGTCATGGTGATCAAGGCTCCTCCTGAGACCCAGCTTCAAGCCGTGGACTCCTCAGAGGTGAGGCGTGGGATCTCGGGTCTGACCAGGAGAGTTGTCAGCTGAGCCTCAGTTTACCCTGTCTGCCACCTCCACACAGACCTTCCAGATCTCCCTTAAGAGCAAACAAGGCCCCATCGATGTTTTCCTGTGCCCTGAGGAGAGTGCCGGTGGGATCAGCCCTCGGAAGACCCCGTCCCAAGGGGCAGCTTCTGGGGAGGACGACAGGGAAGCTGATTCTACCACTACAGTGCCACCACCATCATCATCATCTCTCCCCTCCACCCCTGACGTGGATCCCAGCCAGCCCCTGCTCAGCCTGGAACAAGGTGGGTGAAGGGTGGGTGGGTGAAGGGGTGGTGGTGGGCAGGCCTAACAGCCCCTCTGCCCTCCCTGCTGGGGCATCTCCGGCCTGTGATGCTCCCCCATCTCCCCAGAGCCTCTGCTTTCCCGGACGGGGGGCCTGCGGGCCGCCTTGGACGAAGACCACCTGTCCCCACTGGTGGCAGCTGACTCGCTCCTGGAGCACGTGCGGGAGGACTTCTCCAGCCTCCTCCCCGAGGAGTTCATCAGCCTGTCTCCTCCGCACGGGGCCCTCGACTACCACTTTGGCCTGGAGGAGGGCGAGGGCATCAGAGACCTCTTCGACTGTGACTTTGGGGACCTCACCCCCCTGGATTTCTGACAGGGCTTCTGGGGACCGGGGCCTCCTGAGATGCCCACCCCGTCTCTGCAGTCCTGGAGCCCCCTGCTCCCGCCCATGCTCCCAGCCTGATTGGAAATGTTTAATTTATACCTCTTTCCTCTATCTCCAGAGGCGTATAGCTCTGGGGTCTGGCTACTGCCAAGAGGCTGAACAAGCCAGAAAGGGAAGGATTCTGTTTGTGGTGTATGTGTGCATGCACCCAATACCCAGCGTGTGTACACGGGGTGAGTGGTGTGTGGGCATGTGTGTGTGCATGTACCGGGGAATGAAGGTGAACACATCTGTGCGTGCATTGAAAACACGTCCCGGTGTGTCCACGTGTGTGCATGAGTCCGTGTGTGTGTGTGGTGGGGGCTCTAACTGCACTTTTGGTCTCCTTGCTCCAGGGGCCCCACAAGGCCCAGGGTGGCCACCTGCCCCCGAATCCTGCATGCTGACCAGGCCAGGCGGTGAGGCCTTGGCCTGTCTGTTTGCAGGACAGCAAGAGCACTTCTGTTGTCTTAAAGGTTTTTCTGATTGAAGCTTTAACGGAGCGTTATTTATTTATCAAGGTCTCTTTGGCAAGCCTGGGGCACCAGCAAAGGGTGGGAAGGATGTGGGGCTTATGTCCCAACTCCTTATACCCCTGAGTGAGGGCAGGGGTCCCTAGCTGTTCTTTGCCCCACTCTGAAGGAGTTGAGGCCTAAGCGGTTTTATTTATTGGGAGAGGGAGTGAAGGAGGGAAACTGACTGACAGCCATGGGTAGATCAAGGGGGTGGTCCCTCCCCAGGGGTTACTGCGGGGCTCCGGCTGCCCCCCAGGACGGATGGGAGATGGGAGAGGTAAGTGGGGGACCTTCACAGACAGGGTGGGCAGGAGGGGTGGGTAAAGGGCCTTCTCCCCTAGCCCAGCCTACGGGGCCCCTCCAGTGGCATTTGGAGTGCCCCCTCCACTCCACTTCTCGCTCTGCTCCATCCTCCAATGTGCACTTTGATTTGCCTTCCTAACAGCTCTGTTCCCTTCTGCTTTGGTTTTAATAAATGTTTTGATGGTGTTTGGGCCAGTTTCTGGGATTGTGTACTGGGAGCAAATCTGAGGGGGGGAAAGGTCAAGATTGCTGGGAAAATGCCCATTCTCTTTCTAAAATATATTATTGGTTTCAGAGAAGAAGGGAGAAGGAGAGATGAAACATCAATGATGAGAGAGATTCATTGATCGGATGCCTCCTGCACGCCCTCTACTGGGAATCGAGCCCACAACCTGGGCATGTGCCCTTGACCAGAATCGAACCCAGGACCCTTCAGTCCACAGGCCAATACTCTACCCACTGAGCCAATCCAGCTAGGGCAGCCATTCTCTACTTGCCTCCTCCCTGTCCCTACTTAGTGTCATTTCATTGGAGCCTCACTGCCCCAAGAAGGGTAGGCTTCATCACCACCACTTATGTCCAAACTCAAAAGACATCCAACCGAGCAATAATGGGAACTCCCCTCTCTGCAGCCCCAGAGAAGCTGCTCTGCTCTGTTCCTTCCGGATGTTTCTGGGCATTTGTAAACATGCAACAAATAATCACAACCGGCCAGTTCCGTGTCAGGATCTTTCAGGTTCTGGGGACACACGTTCCCTCCTTTCATGAGGCTCATAATCGGTTGGAGGGGATTCAAAGTCAGGGAGGGCTTCCTGAGAGAGTGATTGTAGTTAACAGAAGAGGAGGACATGAGCACAGCAGGCAGAGGGCAGTGCGGGCGAATGCCCTGCAGCAAGAAGGAGCAGGCACAGGATCAGGTTTGGCTGGAGTTGGGTAAGGACCCCGGTGGAGAGAAATTCAGTTGGGCTTTATTCAGGGAATAAGACTCCCCGATGAGCCTGGGGAGTGATGTCTTATTTTATATTTTGTTTATTTTTAAATATATTGATTTTGTACAGAGAGGAAAAGAGATAGAAACATCAATGAGAGAGTCATCAATCAGCTGCCTCTTGCACACCCCCTACCGGGGATGTGCCCGCAACCAAGGTACATGCCCTTGACTGGAATCGAACCCGGGACCCTTCAGTCCCCAAGCCAATGCTCTATCCATTGAGCCAAACCGGTTTCAGCCTAATTTTATATTTTAGACATAATTGTGGAAGGGAGCTTAGGATGGCAGAGGGGAGGATGGAGTTGAAGGTGTCCACACAGACCTATTTTACGAACCCTTAGGTGGGCTTTGAGCTAGTCCCTCTTTTAAGCCCTTTGTAGTCTGCATCCTCACAATTCTATGGAGTGTCCGAAAATAAGACCTAGCGCATGGAAAGATGACATCCTCTGAAAATAAGACATAGTGCAACTTTGGGAGAAAAAAATATAAGACACTGGCTTATTTTCGGGGAAACGGTATTGCCCCGATTTTGCGAAGGGAATACAGATGCTCAGGTGAATTCATTTAGGGTAATTCAGGTGAATGACCCATTGCCTGTCACGGTATGGCTGGTTTGCTGGCCCCACAAGGGTGTGGGACCTGCCGCTGGGCGTGTGCAGCCCTCAGTCCTGCTCCTGGCCGCGTGGTGCTCCCCGGCGGACGGGGAAAGCCCTCCGGCCAGGTTCCTGTGCGGAGGCCACTGTCCAGGAAGCTCCAAGGTGAACGGTGCTCGGCATCTCCGTGGTGCACTTGCTTGTAACTCACGGGAGGAAGTTTGCTCCCCTCTTCCAGCCCGGGCACCGCCCTGGAGGGGCTCTCGGGCTCCGGGCGGGCGGGCGGGGAGGGGCGCTGGCGGCCGCGGGCCGTGGGCGGGGCTGCGGGGCGGCGTCCTCGGCGTGTGCCGGCGCCCATAGGCGGGCGCCCCCTCCCAGGCTCCGATCTCCAATCTCCGATCCCGGCCGTGGCCGTGGCCGTGGCCGCTGCGTTCCGAGCCGCAGCCGCAGCCCAGCCAGAGCCGGCGGCGCCATGGCGTGCGCGGGGCTGCTCACCGTGTGCCTGGTCCGGCAGCCCGCGCCCCGGCCCCCGCGGGCGCCCTCGCCCGCCTCCGGCCCCGCGGGACACGCGCTCTTCCAGGACGTGAGTGGGGAGGGGGCGGGGGGCGTCGGCTCTGCCGGCCCCGGGGGTTGGCAGTGTCTCCTCAGGTCTGTCTCCCCAGGTCTGTCTGGGCGCTCTCTCTCTCTCTCTCTCTCTCTCTCTCTCTCTCTCTCTCTCTCTCTCTCTCTCTCTCTCTCTCGCTCCCTCCCTCTCTTCCTCTCACCCTCTCTCCTTCTCTCCCTCTCTCCTGCCTCTGTCCGTGTCTCCCCTCCAGGTTGGTTTAGGGCCCTGCCTGCCTCTGGGTTTCTGTCTCATTCTCTTTCTCTGATCTTGCTGTCCCTGTCTCCAAGTCTCCCTTCTTCATCTCATTTCCTTTGTTGCCTGTTCTCTTGTCTCATCCTTTCTCACCTCCTTGTCTCTGGCTCGGTGACACTGCCCCCCCCCCCCTTCTTCCCCGCACCCACCCCGTCTCTGTGTCTGGTGGGGAAGAGACTCCCAACACTTGGTCCCCGGAGCAGTTGCACTGCCCTCTCTGGCGGCTCCTGGATGGGCTGGTCCAGCGAGGGGGCTTGGAGGAATAAGACCCAGTGCTGACCCCCGAGCCCCTGAGACCTGGCCCAGGGCCGTGGGCTCCCGCACTTGGTCAGTGTTGCCCAAAGTCATCCTCTGGGGTCTGTGCACCTCTGTGGGTGGCGGGTGGTCTGCAGGCCCATGGGCAGCAGCGTAGAGTAGCCTGGCCGTCGTCACTGCCCTGAGCCCCTTCCCCACCTTTCACCCCGCGCTCAGTCCCACCTCCTCATGCTCCCACCCCCAGAGGCCCTTGCCGGTGGGAAAGGCTGTGCTCCTGTCCCTTCCCCACGGCCCCCGGTGACTCAGCACCTTGACCATAGTCCTCTTGGCTGGAAGGGACTGACCCTCCCATTTCCTAGATGGAAAAAATAAGGCCTGAGGGGCTAGGGGGGTGTCTAAGATCACCCATGGAGACGGGCATGCTAGGGTGTGGCCCCAGGTGTCCTCATTCCCAGCTTGGCTCTCTTATACCCCCTCCCCCAGTATCTCCTTCTGCCCCAGCCAGGCTAAGCTGGGCTGCTGCGACCTCAAGCCATGCAGAGCTCTGAGACTTCCGACGTGTAGTTAGATTTATTCCTGAGACTCACCTATACTGAGCAAACGGCCAGAGGGGGTGACACTGAGAACTTTCAGCTGTTAGGGGCTCTCTGGCCAGGCTTTGGCCTGCCTCTCCTTGCCGGGCTGCTGGTCCCCTTTGCTGGGCTGCTTTATGTGATCTGGAGTCTCTGGTCCCTGGGAGAGGCTGACAATGTCTTGACTCTGTGCCTTTCTGTTTACCTGCCTCTGTTGCCCTGCATCTCTGCTACACACTCGCGCGCGCGCGCACGCACACACACACACACACACACACACACACACAATGAGTCTGCCTCGCAGGAAGCCCCAGTCCTGGAAGGGTTAACCCCAGTCTGCTCTGCCAGGTCCTGGGCTAAAGCGGAGACACCAGCAATGGAAGGACAAGCACACAAACAAACAGCCGAGAGTGGGCAGAATCTGGGATGGACCATGCCCACAGCAGATTTGGGGGTTCAGTCTGGGACAGTTGTCCAGGATTCTCAGGCCGCATCTTGGCCCATTTCCCCATCTTCCGCAAGCTGGGACTCTGCCAAGGGCTGATGCATCAGACAGAAATCAGGATATACTCTGTGGGAGGCGGGGGTGCAAGGAGCTGGCCTGGAGCACCCCACCTCCCACGAAGCCAAGCCCCGCAGGAAAAGTGAGCAAGCAGAGGGACCTGCTGTGTGCTCTTCCTCTGCCCCCTCATTGGAAAGCTCCTGGAGGGCTGAGCGGGGCAGGTGGCTGGGCCAGGCTGGGCAGGAGGGAAGGCTAGGCAAGGGGGCAGGCTGGACCGCTGGGGCCCTGTCAGGGAGGGCAGGGGCCTCTGACCTCCCAGACTCCACTCACAGCTCCATCCATGCCTCTGTGTCCTGTAGGTTTTCCGCAGAGCAGACAAGAATGGTGAGTGTGGCTTTCCCGGGCCCCACGGTGGGAGGAACAGTGGGGGGCATCATGGAGGCTTGGGAGGCTTGGGGACTTGGGGGCACAGTCTAGAATGGAGAAAAATTTGACCCAAAGCTAGAGGATCAATCAAGGCATCCTCCCTGGAGGAAGTGCTGTTTTGAGCCACGTTTGGCAGGCTGGAGAGTGGAGGGAGGCTGAAAGGAGAGGCTTGCTTTCACGCAGTGCCCTGGCACAGAGACAGGTACCCGTGCCTTCCTGTATACGACCTTGTGATCTTTACCCCATTTCACAGACAGAGGAACAGGGGCCCGGAGAGGTAAAGCAGGTTGCCTGAGGTCACGCATCCTTTAACCCAGGTCTGCATGATGCTTGGCCCCAGGCTTCCTAGGTGAGAGGCTGGGAAGTGTGGGCGAATGGGGATGAGGCCCTGTGGGGACTTTTAGATTTTCAGCGGGTTCAGTCGCTCTCCATATGACCAGCTGTCTGGGTCAGGAGGGCTGGGCATGACAGAGCTGGCTCCGGGAATGGGCTCCGTCTGCCCCGGGGCCTGGGCGGTCGCAGACCTGGGTCTAGGAAAACCTTGGAAGTGAAGCAGGGGACCCTGCAGGCAGGGGATCGCCCAGGGGTGACCCAGCACAGCCCACCGTACCCTGCCTGGCCGGGCGAGGATCTGACCTCACTTCCATGTGGCTCTTCGGATCCTCTTGTGGTTCAGCCTCCTTGAAATAGGATCGTGTCCCTACCCTCTGGCCCTTCTCTTTAGGTCTCTTCAAATTGTAGAGACCATTTGTCCCAATCCATGGGTCAGGACCCATAGTCTCATTTGGATCAGAGCCTTCTGTCCGATCCCGCTGCGTGGAGACCTGACGGGCCAGCTTCCCAGTGCCTGTGGCCGCCCCCCTCAGTGCGCTCAGCCTTTGCTGCATGCACAGGGGACAGGAAGCTTATTCGCTCTGAAGCCGGGCTGCTGCTGCTCACAGGGGCCCAGCCCTTGGGAAGGTCCATCAGCCGCCCCGTGGCTCTTCTGTCCTCATCCTGGCGCCAGGCTGCCAGCACATGAGGCGACTCTCAGTCCCCCAAGTCCTCCACGTGACATCGAGGCCCTGCCATGATCAGGCTGTGTCCCGGGCTGTTCATTTGTGTCTCCCTTTAACAAACGTTTATGGAGTCCCTACCCACGGCCACATGTGTAATGCCCGCCTTGGGCGCATGCACCGTGGTCCCTGTGCCTTAAGTGGGCCTCTCCAGGAGTTCCTGCTCTTGTCCCCAACAGCCAGGCCCCCCCGCCAAGCTCAGAATCCATTCCACCTGGCCGGGTGTGACCCGCTGTGAGGCCTTTGGGGGGCCTGGGCCTGGCGGCAGGGGTGCAGCCAGGGGCCAGGGGTATGGACTCTGTCCCCTGTCCACCCATCAGACGATGGTAAGCTCTCCTTTGAGGAATTCCAGAATTACTTTGCGGATGGGGTTCTCAGCGCCCGCGAGCTTCGGGAGCTGTTCGGCGGCATCGACGGGCGCTCTGCTGAGTGAGTACAGGGGAGACGGACCAGCCGTGGGTGGATGGTTCCTCATGATGGATAGGGGACAGAAGAAGAGGGGATGGAGGGAGGGGCATCTGGGCTCAGCGCCAAGTTTCACCCACCCACTCGCTGCCTTCCCAGCTTCAGCCTTGCCCGCCACACTCCAGCTAGGACCTTAAAATAGCCAGACCTGAGTCACCGCAGTGGCTCAGCCCACAGCTGCCCCCTCCCCACTCCTGCTTCCTGGGGGTGCCTGGGGACAGCGGGGGCCTGCCTGCTCCCGCCCCTGGATGCAGGGACATGAGCACGCACACACCACCTCATGTGTGCTCCCCATCCACACACCTCAGCCCGCGTTCGCATGCTTTCTTTCCCATGCTGCCTCACACGGGAGCGACACCCAAAGCTGTCCCTCCCTCTCACGGGCCTCCTCCCCTCATCTCCTTAGAATGGATTGTGAGCGCCCTCGCTGGTTTTACCCAGTGGTTAGAACGTGGGCTTGCGGACCGAAGGCTCACAGATTCGATTCCGGTCAAGTGCCTGTGCCTCGGTTACAGTCTCCATCCCTGGCTCTGTCCGGGTACATATGGGAGGCAACCCATGGTTGTTTCTCTCTCACATTGATGTTTCTCTCTCTCTGTCTCTTCCCTGCCCTTCTATTCTCTCTAAATCAATCGAAAAAATACCTTCAAGTGAGGATTAACAGCAAAAAAAAAAAAAAAAAAAAAGAGTATACATTCTGAGGGCTGGGCTGGACTCTTTGTCTGCCCCCCCTGCACCTCACCACCAGACATTCTGTATGTCCCCGCCTCGGCTTCCCTTCCCAGCTCTGACCACTCCTCTCTGGCCTGTGTCCACATCAGTCTCTCTCGGCCAAGAGTGGGTGTGTTTCTGCCCTCAGAGGGTTTGATGGGGCAGTAGTATCGTTGCTACCTCCCACCCACCCTGCCCCCCGCCGCCCTGCCCCACAGCCTCTGCCCACTGAGCAGCTTAGCCTGGGGTGGAGTCCGGAGTGGCCTCCTTGTCAGGCTCAGCTGGGTGAGGTGGGGAGAAGCAGGCCTGTGCTGGCTGCGCTTCGAAGTCCCAGTTCACCAGGCTCAGCTGGGAGGGTCTGAAGGGCACCTTCCCTTTTCTCTACAGCAACTTGGAAACCGAGAAACTGTGTGGTGAGTAAGCCCACTGGGCTCTTGTCCCCCGGGACCTCCGGACAGATGGGTGTGACGAGGGGCAGGGACTGGTCTCCTGGGAGAGTAGGATGGGCTGGGTTGGCTATTGAGGAATTCCCCGTTGGGTAGATGGGGGCGGGGCGGGAACCTCTGAGCACCCCCTCTGCCCGCAGACTACTTCTCGGAGCACCTGGGTGTCTACCGGCCTGTGCTGGCCGCGCTGGAGTCCCTGAACCGGGCAGTGCTCACCGCCATGGACGCCACCAAGCTGGTGAGCGAAAGGGCTGCTATCATGGGTGTAGTTCAGGGGGTCTGCCGTGCTGTGGGAGCCTCCCCTGGCTTAGGCGGTTGAGCTAGAGGGCTGGGTTCAAGTCCTGGCTCTCACACTTCCTGTTTGTGCACCGTTCGCTCTCCGGGCCTCTGCGCCCTCATCTGTAAGCTGGGGACAAAGCGAGAGCCTGCCTCTGTGCGCTTGTGACCAGCGAATGGAAATGAAGGCAGGGATTTTGTCTTCTTCTCTATCCCCAGCACTCAGAGCACTGCCTGGCACACAGCAAGTGCTCAGCCGCTGGAGCTGCTGCGGCTGCTGTTGATTATCGGCAGGCCTAACTGCTGGGGGGTACTGCGCCCAGGACTCCGTAGGGATGGGTGGGGGTGCGCTGGGCTTGCACGTGTGTCCACAGGCCCAGGCTGGTGTGCAGAGCCTCTGGGGGTGGAGCCAGGCCTGAGGACGGTGGGGAGCATTCAGCAATGCTCGCCCACGTGTGGACGTGTGTGCGCAAGCAGACACAGTGCTCACAGCCGGGGCTCCCGCCTTTGTAGGGTGACTTCAAAAACCCACACGCCACCCATGCCTTTGTGTGTTCCTTTTAGGAGATGTCTGCGCTTCCCTTTTCCCCGCAGCTTTAATGAGGGGGCTGGGAGGGAGCAGTGAGCGAGCCTGGCTTTCCTGGTGCCTGGCTTCTCTGCAGGAGGGGAAGCTGACACCCGGCCAGCGGACGGTCAGTGAGGACAGTGCTTCCCCTCTGGCTGCTTTCACATGGGACTTGGTAGCTTCTCAAAGGGCCGCCCTTTGGGGTCTGGCGTGGGATGGGAATCTAAACGGCGCTGTACCATTTGGGGCTGGCGTATCGCGGCAACTTCTGTATCCGTGGCCTGTGAGCGTGTGTGGGCATCGGCTTCCTTATCGCCATGGGGACAGGGCCCCGGGCGTGGGCAGCCGGAGTCGTTAGGGGAATTCAAACCGCAGTGACAGCGAGGGCCCCAGACCACCCCCCCCTCCTGGCCCGGACACGGAGAGGAGGCGACCCATCACCACACAACGACCGACTCTGCGAGCTCCCGCCGCCGGACACCTTTATCCGGCACCCGGTGCCCCTGACAGAGCCTCCGCTTAGCCCGCCACGCCTCTGCCCCTGCGGCCCGCTGGCCGCACCACCCCTCCCGGTCCGCGCGGACTCAGTTGAAGACTTCGTGCACCAGCCTGGAGCCACACTCGTGGTACATGGCCCGGGTCATCCACTGGCGCTGGAAGTTGTGCAGCGAAGCCATCATGGAGCCGCCCGTCCACACGGCCGTCCCCCGCCCGGGCTGGACCACCAGGCGCGGCCGCAGCGCCCCGGGGCCGTGCTGCTGGCACTGCGCGAGCAGCTCCCGCTCCAGGCGCTCGGTGAAGCCGGGGAAGAGCGTGGAGCCGCCGGCCGGCACCACCGTGTCGGCCAGCCTCCTCCGCAGCGTCTCGGGCACCTTCTGCAGAGCCCAGAAGGCCAGGGTGGCCAGCCCGGGCTCCCGGTGGCCCAGCAGAGCGGGCTGGAAGATGGGCTCCGGGCAGCGGAAGCGCTCGCTGCCCAGGCAGACGGAGCACCCGCTGTCCAGGCGGAACCGGACCGGGCGGTGGCGGGCGGGGTCGTGGAGGTCGCCCTCGAAGTCCAGGGAGACGTAGCAGCAGCGCTTCTTGATCTGCGTGACGGCCTTGCGGGGCAGGCTCTGCAGCAGCAGGTCGGGGCGCGCCGCCAGCAGCAGGTCCCGCAGGTGGCGGGAGAGCGTGGTGCCCGCCACCTCCAGCCGGAAGGTGGCCTCGTGCCACGAGTGGCCGGCGTAGATGGGGGTGGCGTGGCACACCCCCGCGCCCGCCTCCACGGCCAGCCCGCTGAGGGCGCCGGTGGAGCAGACGGCCAGCGCCGCCGTGCTGGCCATGTGGCACGCGGGCACCGCCAGGGCCTCGAACAGCAGCTCCGCCGCCCGCTCCCGGCTCGAGGGCGGCGCCGAGGGCGAGTCGCTCACCAGCACCGGCCACTGGTCCGGCCGCACCCGCAGCCCGCACACCAGCAGGCGCTCCCACAGCCCCTCCAGCGCCTCCCAGTCCACCACCGTGCCGTGCTTGATGGGGTGCGCCCGCTCCACGCCCCCCGGCGCACAGCCCAGCGCCCCGGGCAGCAGGGGCTGGTCCCAGCTGGACACGAAGCCGGAGCTCTTCAGCACCAGGCGCGGCTGGTTCTCGCCCGCGAAGCCCGCCTTGGTGAAGCCCGAGCCCTGGTCCACCACCACGGCGATGCGGCCCAGGGGGGGCGGCCGGGCCCGGCGTCTCCCCGACACCGACACCGTGGCCACCTTCGCCATCTCCGGGCTCAGCCGCGCTCCCAGAGGCGGTTCTGTCCCCGCTGGCCCAGGTGGAGGCCGGCCTCTCAGCTCTTGACTCTGAGCCCTGGGACCAAAGCCCTACCTTCCCGGACTCGGAACGACTCTCCCAGCGTCTGGCTCCGCCTTTTCTGCCCAGAGTGGGTGTCCCTTTCCAGCTCCGGGCTCCCTGGGAACCCAGAAGTCCGGCCCAGGCGGTGTCCAGGACCGCTCCCCGGGCCTGACGGAGGTAGTTCCTGGTTGTGGAGACGGAACCGTGTAGGTCACCAGAGAAGGAAGAGAACTTGGATCCGACTAATTGTGACCTCAGTCCTCAGCACCTGCTGGGCTTCCGCAGGCACCCCCACCCCCACCCCCACATTGAAAACACCCTGGACCCTCCTCCCTCCCGGAGCAGGGTCGAGGGCAGTGCATTGGGCATCCAGGAGTCTGGCTGCAACCAATGGTTCCTTCCCCAAACCACTTCCGAGGATCAGATCTACTCCGCCCCCTCCGATGCTGAAGAGAAAGCCCTTAGTCCCAGACCTACAGCCGCTCCGGAGGACCTGTGTGCTCGGCCTTGAGGGGCCCGGGCAGCCCCCCGGGGACTCTACCTTCAGGGACCTCCACCTGGGGACGCTGTGGGCCTGAGTCTGTGACTCAGCTCTGAGGCTGACTCACTCGGCAAGCAGGTCCTCGTCTTCCTGAGCTCAGATTCTTCCTCCAAAAGGCAGAAACCTTCACGCACAGGAAAGAGGCCGCGGCTGGTCTCTACAGAGTCCCATTCTCTCCAGGACCATTCTGGTTGCAAGTTGAAGACCCACCCACTCACGAGAGTGGGAGCTAAAATAAGGGTTTTATTGCAAGGATCTTGTATGTGTGATGGAGACCAAAGGCAAAGGGTGAGAGCAGGCTTCAGAGCAGCCTGGAAGCAGGGCCTGACTGCAGGAACCCAGGATGTGCACTGTCTGTGTGTGTTTTTATTCTGAAGATTGGCTCCAGCCCATGCGTGTTCCCGTAGAAAACAGTCTATGGCCCCTGAGTGACGGTCCCAGGGAAGGGGCTGATGGGACCCAGGGCTTAGGGCCAGGAGGTGTGGTCACGTTGAGGAACTCGGTTTCGCTGGCTGTAATTATGTGAGTGGCAGGGGAGGGTCAGTTCTTACAAACCGCAGGGGCGAAGCTATGGGTCATGGAGCCGCCAGCACGAGGCGGGCAACGTGGAGGAGCCCCTGACAGTAACATCTCCAGCAGGAGCTGGGCCTGCCCCTGCTGCTTCTGCCCCCAGCGCCGTCCTGAGGTTGGCTGCCGGCGGAAAGCAGGCGCCGGTTCGAAGGCTGGGGAGGCTCTAGGTTCGGACCAGGACCGTGAAGAGCACACACAGCTGGACCCCTCGTGGGTGCTCAGGGCGGTGAGCCTCACACTGGAGACCACACGTGGCAACGTAGCCAGAGCAGGTGAGGGTGGGAGTCCCCGAGAAGCCCCAGAGAGGAAGAGAGGCTGGGGTTTGGGCTTGCGAATCCCAGTAGTAGGTTTGGGTGTTTCCCTGTGGGCAGTGGGGGATCCCTGTCTGCCCAGTGCGAGCTTATGAGCAAAGTGAGCTGCCCAACAGGTAGTTGGGTGGTTTTGAAGGAGCCTTTGGCTGCCGTGTGGGGAGAGGATGGAAGCGGGTAGGCTGGGAGACAGGTAACCGGTGGGTTACCAGGCAGGGATAGCAGTGAAGGGGCCTCTGGGAGGCAGCATGTGAGTCCCAGGCCCTCACAGCTCTCCCGGTGCTGGCTGTTTGCCTGGGCCCCGGTGCTGCCTGAGGACTGTGAATGCCGGGGACTGGGAGGTGCCATGCCCAGCGGAAGCAAGCCCCTCGCAGGGCGGCCAAGCCTGGGTGTGCTCAGGCTCAGCTCCCTTGGGTCTGCAGAGCCGGGCCTGGAATGGAGGGGAAGGGGAGCCTCTCCCTTCTCCACTGTGGCAGGATGTCCCCTCAGTGGACATCCTGCAGGGCCTCTAACTTTTGGGTCTCAAGGGAGGAAAACCAGTTGGCTCCCGACTGCTGTCCACCCCCCCACCCCTGCCCCCCTCCATCTCGCTCTGGCGCCAGAGCCCTCAGACAGAGCCAGCGGGAGCCGGGTCGCCATGTGCTCTTTATTGGGTCGGGGCCGGAGGGGTCAAGGTGCCAGACCAGGTGCCGGGGCCGCGGGCACGGATGCCCCCCCGGGGGGGGGGGGGTTGGGACGCTGTGGATCACCAGGCGCGGGTGGGCACCGGCGGCCCCCTGCGGCCCTGGTCCTGGTCCCGGTCCCGCCCGCTGCGCGGAGCCCCGCCGCCTGCAGCCGCGCGCAGGGGGCCGGGGTCGCCTCGGGGTCCCGCCCGCCACTCGGTGCCGTCGCCCGCTCCGCGCATCCTGGGGGGCGCCGCCAGGGAGCCCCCCGGCTCCTCGCTCGGCCGCCCGGGCCCCGGGACCGGGCCCACCGCCGCCTCAGCGAGCTGCGGCCGCTCGGCCGCCGAGAAGAGCAGCAGGATCTTGGTCTGCGGGTGGGGCAGCAGGTGAGGGTGTGTGTGTCCGTCCTCCCCCCAGGACCCTGGCCGCCCTGGTCCTGCCCACCGAGGCCATGCCCTCTCTGTGTCCGGGACCCCGCCATCCTCCCATGCCCGGGAGGGGGATCCCCACTCTGCTCCATCACCAGGGATCCCCGCCCCCCAGGCTGACCCGAGACCACCGTTCTGGGATCCCTGTCTGCCCACTGGAGGGGAACAGTAGCCTGTTTTGAGGCGAGGGGTTGGAGAGGGGCATAAGGAAACCCTTGGGGCTCATATCCCAGAGATGCCAATCATGCTGGCACCTCCACCCACGGATCCATCCAGGTGGTAAAATCCCCTTCTGCTCACCCTTCCGACTCCCAAGTCCCATCTGTCTCCTGGTCTCTGGAACCCCTGCCCTCTCTTCTGGGCATTTAGGACCCCATCCATACCCAGTGCGTTTCTGGGACCCTCCTCCCCAGGAGGGATTCTCCAACCTCCTGGTCCATGGCCCTGGGACTTCGGAACACAAGGCCTGCACTCCCAGCATCCCCGCCCGCCCGCCCGCCTGTCCGTGCTCCCCTGCCGCTCCCACCCGCCACTCACGCCTGACTTCCGCCGGAAGCTGCTGAAGAACGGCCGTCTCCCCGGGGCCTTGTCCGTGTCGGGTGGCCTCTTCTTGCCAACCTCCTTGGGCACCTTGGTCCTTTTGTGGGAACCGCTGTTTCCCATGGCAGGACTGGTTCGCGCTGGGTCCTCGGCCCATGCTGCCCCGCCCTGCCCTCTGGCCAGGGAGCCCTGCCCTAGCATTGTCCCCCAGAGGCCTCTCTGTGACCTCATGGGTCGACCTCACCGGCCCCAGGCTCTGGGCATCTCACAGAACCCACAGGCGAGTCTTGGCTCCTTTCACTCTGTCTGTGATTTCCGGCCCGTAAAAGGGCCAATGATCATAAATGAGGCAGTGTTTCATTATCGGCCTGGGTCCCGTAATGAAGGTGCTTAGTGATGAGAACAGAGGGATTTCCATGGCCTAAGTTTGAATTCTGGCTCTGTTCCTAACTAGCTGTGTGATCGTGGCCAAGGTAATCAGCTGTTCTAGACCTCAGTCTTCTTATCTGCAAATGGGGTCCATCATGGTCTCTGAAATCGTTATGAGGATTAAGTGAAATTCTGCTTGGAACAGGGCCTGGCACAGAATAGATGCTTGTGTCAGCTGGGTTCTTTGGTTGCAAGCAACAGAAGCTGACCAGTCATTTTAAGTGCCCCAAATGGAATTTATTGGAAGGATTTTAGAGAGCTCAGAGCATAGCCAGAAGTCCAGGGAGGGACAAAAGTCTACAGAGAGATCAGAAACCACTGGCCTGTGTGAGAATGGGAGGACCCATCCCCCCCCCCCCCCCCCCCGTCCCCCTCTCCCCTTCTCCGCAGAAGTCTCTGCATAAGTCTGGCCCAGCAGGGCCCACCTGACGGCAAAGCCCCTGGTGGGTGGTGCCTCCGGGGCCCCTTGAAGAGGGAGAGCAGCACCTAGGCCGTGGCTCCTGACGGCCGGGCACATGGTCTGCTCTCTCTGCCCTTTTTGGGAGGCAAAGGGGGGCTGGTTGTGTAGGTTGGGCTGGGATGTGTGTGTGATGACAGTAACTTGGCTGTCTTGTGTCTGCAGCTCCTAGAAAAAGGTTCTCAGTAAATGTCTGTTACATGGATGAGTGAATGAATGAATGCGTGCATACACTGAGCGGCCAGATTATGATGATCTCTGAATGCATAATAATCTGGTCGCTCAGTGTATATCCTATATAATGAAAGGCTAATATGCACATTGTCCCCTCGACCAGGAATTCGACCAGCAGGCAGGCTGGCCAACTGCCCATGTCCCCACCCCCTGGCCAGGCTGGCCGGACCCCACCCATGCACGAATTCATGCACCAGGCCCCCTCCCCATATGTAATAATAATCTGTCCACTCAGAGTGTGTGTGTGATTATGTGTGTTTATATATATACACACCCACTGAGTGGCCAGATTATTATGTGTTCAGGGATCATAATAATCTGGCCACTCAGGGTATATAGCCTGTGACTTTGTGGCCAACTGGTGAGTATGGGGCCATATCACACCGTCATTTTTGCCTCGTGTCAAAATAGGTCTTGGGATATCCTATGACCTGCCCTATCCGCAACCCCCACCCCAGCCTAACTGTGCAGGGGCCTCCCTGGCTGAAGGTGGTAGCTCCGTTATAGAAGGGGCCCTGGGCCCAGAGGACGGCAGATAACTCCTTACAAGTTGGCCTGGAGGGAGGCCAGGCCCTGTGCCCTCCTGCTATGCTGCGTCTGCAGGCCCTCTTTACGATGCCACTGCGGCTCTGATGGGGAGGGAGGAGGAGCAGGGGATGGCTCCTCCTTCAGAAAGATAGACTTGGAGCCCAGAGGTGCTGACTGTGTCCCCTCTGCCCCCAGGAGTATGAGAGGGCCTCCAAGGTGGACCAGTTTGTGACTCGCTTCCTCCTGCGGGAGACGGTGAGCCAGCTCCAAGCCCTGCAGAGCTCGCTGGAGGGGGCGTCAGACACCCTGGAGGCCCAGGCCCAGACCCGTGTGCCGAGGTATGTGAGGAGCCCTGGGCCCGCTGTGGGTCCAGTTCACGAAGAGCCATCTCATTTCAGTCCCTCTGCTTTCCTGCATTGGGTAGTTTCTGCAGATGCTTGCTCTGGGGCAGGAGGCCATAAAGGTGCGAGAGGCCGGCTGGCTTTGGAGCTAGGGCCTCCCTATCCCCGGATGCCTGTCTTGCCCCACCCAAGCCTGGCCTTTTGGGGGCCCCAGTCCTTGGCCCTGAGGGTCTGCTGGCCGTACACTGAGCCTCCACCTCCCTCAGGTCAGACGAAGCGCGAGTGGAGGTGCAGAGCAGGCCCCGTGGCGGCCGGCGGGCGGGGCGCAGGGCCTTGCGGAGCGTCAGCCGGTCGCCCACCTGGTCTCCTGGCTCCTCTGACACAGGTGTGCTGTGGTGGGGGGGAGGGCTGGCTGAGGGGGCCCAGAGCAGCGCCCCCAGTGCCTGCTCCTCCACTGCCCCCCAGTTCCTCCTGAGGGACCTCCCCGCCTGAATTCCCCCGTGGGCCCCGCCCCAGGGCCGAGCTCGGAGGCCGAGAGGCAGTGGCGGCTCCAGGTGAACCGTCTCCAGGAGCTCATCGACCAGCTCGAGTGCAAGGTGAGCAGCGGTGGACTTTCCTGGCATCGGCCCAAGACAGGCGCCGGCGGGTGCCTGACCCACACCCTGTGTCCCTCACAGGCCCCCCTCCTGGAGCCCCTGCATGAAGAGGATCTTACCAAGGGACCCAGCTCGGTGAGTCTGGGGAAGGGGTGGGCAGCGGGGTCTCAGGGGCTGGGTGTCATGAAGTGAGGGCGCTCACAGGGCCAGCTTCCCACCCGGCCTCTGCCCTGCACGCATCTCCGATTTCCCAGCTTTGGCCCAGCCCTCGTCCCCCAGGCCTGGCAGGCAGGCAGGTGCTGGTCTCTGGTCCCTGCTCTGTGACTCCACAGAAATCACTGCCCCTCTGTGGGCCTCAGTTTCCCTTATCTGCATTTCTGAGTCGGGCAGTGTGGACGGAGGCTGGAGGGGGCAGTGAGAAGTGGAGGTGTGCTGCAGGGGAGACAAAGACTGGCTCAGGGCGGCATCCTTGGGGCTGGGGAGAGGAGGATGGAGCCAGGGAGGTTGGGGACAGGTTGGGGCAGGAGCCCGACCTCAGGGTCGGCCAGGTCTGATGCAAGTCGGGCAGGGCGGGTCCTCCTGGCGGCTACAGCCAGCCTGTCACCCGTGGCCTGCTCTGCCCGAGCTGACTGGGCCACCTCTCTCGCCAGCGCATCCTCGTGTCCCAGAGGCAGGTCCAGGTGGCGGAAGAAGCCCTGCAGGACTTCTCCCGGGCCCTGCACTGCTACGTGGACTTCACAGGGGCCCAGAGCCACTGCCTGCAGTGAGTTCCCAGCCTCCGGTGGGCCGGCCAAGGTTGGGGCAGGAGCAGGGGGGAGCACAGGGGCTGAGCATTTTGGGCCAAAGTGCCCATTCGATACTCCAGCCTGGGTGGGCGGCAGGGTGGCAGCCCAGGCCTGGCCTGGCCATCTCTTTGGCTCTACAGTGTGTCTGCTCAGAAGATGCTAGACAACGCCTCCTTCACGCTGTACGAGTTCTGGCGGGACGAGGCCTCCTGGAGAAGGTACGGATGGCGGTCCAACAACTAGTGTGTATGGAGCGTGGGCCCTGGCGGGAGGAGGGTTCACTGGCTGTGGGACCTAGAAGAACCACTTACGTGGTCCCTCTGTACCCTGTGGCCTCCTTTCCAAAATGGGAGTGAGAACGGTTCCATCTTCACTGGAGCTGAGTGAGGTGACACGTAAGGAACTGAACACGGCCATGTGCACAGAAGATGCTCCGTGAATACATAGCGTCACCATTGTGTCACATCCTGTGGCAAGCACTTGTGTGTTCCTTCATGTAATCCCCACAGGAGCTAGCACAGTAGACACTCTTGTCCCATTCCACAGAGGAGAAAGCTAAGGTTCAGAGAGAGTGTGAGGAAGGACTGAGATCTGAATCCAGGCAGCAGGCCTGGGGTGGGGTTGATCTTTGGGGAAGATCAAGCCCACCCATGGCCCTCCCCAGGCACCAGCAGTCCGCCTGCAGTAAGGCCTTCCAGCGCATCCTCACTGACCAGCTGCGGGCTCCGGACACCCTCTCCACTGTGTTCTTCCCAGGTGTGCGGGAGCCCTGACCCTCTCTGAAGCCTTGGGGCCTAGGGAGGGGCGCTGTACCCCTCATGGCCTCTGACCCCCCAACCTCTGGCCCCCAGCCTCCTGGTGGATTATGAACAATAACTGATCCTGGCCTGCATTAGTCAAGGACCCTGTGGCCCTGCCTGCCTCCTCCTGGAGCTTCTGGATGGTCCATTCAGCATCGAGACCAAGGATGCTGCTGCTCCCAGACCTGGAGTCTGGCTCTGAGAGGCCTCCCAGACCTGCTGGTGCAGAGTCTTCAGTCCAGGGATCAGGACTGGTCCGCTTGCTTTCTGTTTCTTTATCGGTGTATTTTATTGTTTGTAGCTTTGGTCTCTGAGGCACTCTGGCCTCTGACTCCGAAGGCCTGGGTTCTGGTCCTCTCTGCCTCTGCCTGTGTGTGACCAGGGCAGATCCCTTCCTTCCCTTTCCGCGCGAGCCTTGGACTGCCTGGCTGCCCTGTGGGTGCCCGCTTCCTTCCCGCTATCTTGGGGCCAAGTTCTGCTCTTCCTCAACCAGCAACAGAACCAGGGCTGATGCTCAGGGACCCCCATCTCCGCCCCAAACCTTGACCCCTGAGGCTGAGCTGGGTCTGTCTACATCGTGGGGTAAGGACCTGGATGTCCCCACCACCCTCCTGGGCTGCGAGCTTCTGACTCTTCAGCACCCTCCACTGCACCAGCGACATCTGGAAGATCCTGGGTTGGTTTGCATGTCATTTGCACATGATTTGCATGTCCATGCCCAACCAAACTCAGGACACTACGGGAAGCCCGGCGGTGACCTTGCCCAGTAGCAATAATTTGGGGCTGGAGTCGCCTGCTGTCCCCAGATGTCTCTGAACCCGAACCGCAGCAGAGAGACAATAAAGGCCGTGGTCGCTTCTGGTGTGGCCTCCTGTCTCCCGCAGCCAGGAAGCTGGACGGTGGGGCTGGTTTGCATCCCTGACCATAGGCTCAGGGCAGGAAGCCTTCCTTCAGAAACCAGCCCGTTCCCATCTCAAGCCCCCCTGCCTCAGATGGTGGCAGCTTCATCGCTGCTGACCAGGTCTCCTCAGCCCGGGGCCCTCACAAGCCCTGGCTCTGGGAGTGAGTGTGATCTGTGCTTTCCACCCCACCCACGGGGGCTCCAGCTTCACCGCCCCTCCCTCACTGTGCCAAAAGGGTGTGCAGTGGACTTGGGGACTGAGCGCAGAGCCTCCTCAGGGTCCCGGAGAGCATAGTTGGGTTCTGTGAAACCTGTCTCCAGGCAGAACCTCCCCCTCCCTCCACCTCTCCTCACCCCCTTCCAGGCCACCCGGCCACCCGACAGAGCAGCTCCAGGGAAGTGAAGGCCGAGTTGGTCTGTCCAGCTTCTGGAGGAACCTGGGGGGGGGGGGGGGGAGACGGACATGGGGTGATGACTGACACTGATGAGGGCTCTAAAGGGAGGTATGTGGCACCATAAGAACAAGATGGCCTCTGACCTTGTCTGGGTGTTGGGTGAGTAGTTGTTCCAGCTTTGAGGGGAAGGAGAACTTGCCTCCCTGAACGGAGAGAAGCCGGCTGTGGGCTGCAGCTGGGAGGGAAGAGTGGGCTGACACCAAGGCGGCAGGTGGCAGGGCTTGGAAGGTGCCTCATCCTAGGAAGCCATGGCAGCCCTTCAGCCAGGGGTGACTGGCCAGTGGGCCGAGCGACATTTCCCCAATGTTTTGAATGCCCCGGTGGTGCCGGGTCACTGCTGGGTACAGGGGTATGGCCAGGAACACAGCTCAGCTCAGATGGTGGTAGCTCAGGGTAGGTGGCCTGGACTGGGGCTCCAGGGAGGGTCTTCCCTGAGGTTCCCCCAGTGACTCCTGGGCCGGCACTGTGCCCAGCTCCCTCCGGCCGCCCCTTCCCAGACTCCTGGAGGCTCCCAGGAACGGCTGCCAGCACCTGCGCCCACAGCTCTGGGTGGGCTCGAGGAGGTTTCAGTGTCCTTGTCAGAGAAGAAGCCCACTTAGGGCAAATAATTGTGCTTTCTGTTCTGTGTTATAATTTTTCTGCTTCCTCCACAAAAACAGCAACAGCAAATCCTCAAAACAAAACGAAAAAAACTTCCCACTGCCATCTTAGAACAAAGAAACTGAAGTCCTCAAGCTGACACCTCTCAAGGGTCTCCTTAAATTTTGCACCTTTGCCTGCCTCTGCAGTGGAGTTGTAAAAGTTAATACTTTAAAAACAAACAACAAAATATGGGCTATGATGTCCCTCCCTAGCTGAAGGCTTGGCGGTGTGGGGAGGGTTGGGGAAGCCTCTGGAGGGGTCTCCAGACGGATGTTGGGGCAGATAGGCAGTGGGGATGAGGCAAAGGGAGCAGAAGGTGGATCCTGGAGGGTAGAGGAATGGAGGTGAGCAGGGGGGCCAGACCAGAGGGAGTGAGCCCGGAGGGTGCCAGACGGGAGTTTCTGGGTGAGGGGTGAGGGGCGTTGGACTGCTTTACTCTCGCAAGCCCCCATCCCCATCTTGCCATTCCCTACCCCCAAGCCTTGGCCGCCATCTCCAGGCTCTTGGCCATGCCCCTGTCCCCAGCAAGGCCCTGGGGCATTCAAACTGGTGAAATGTCCCCCAGCCCACTGGCCAGCCACACCTGGCCACACTTCCAGTCTCTGGCCTGGAAGACTATGCCCACCTCGTCATTGAGCTTCTTGACCCCACTCCTCTCTTAACAGTCCATTCCCCATAATGCAATAGCAGAAGGGGCTTTCAAAGCATTGCCATGGTTACCACATTCCTTGACCAAGACCCTTCAGTATCAAGGTCAAGTTTGATTTCTTGACTCGGCATTCAAGGCCCCTTATAATCAGCCCCCAGTACGTGCAGCCTCCTGTCCCTAAACCATCCCAGATGAGCTGGACTATTTATGACCCCAGTCACCCCTACTCTTGGCCTTTGTCCTCCTTCCCACCCCTGCTCACCACAGAAGCACCATCTTCGCCTTATATAGCAGGTCAAAGCCATCAGGTCCGGGTTACCTTTCTCAAGCCTTGCCCTCAGCACCCTGCTCTTGGTGGCTCTGCAGCTCATTTCAACAGCCACAGACACCGGCTCTGTGGCAGGTGCTGGGGAGGGTGACATGCCCAGGCTGGTGGTAGTACCCAGGCCAGGGATAGTCAGAGTTCCAAAGCCAGTAGAGCTCCTGGCTCCTGCTGGCTGCACTCCCCACCCTTTCACCTACGCCCTGCACCTGCCCTGCCCCTTCCTCCCACCTGTGCTCGTGACTCACCTGCACACATTCGAGCCTGCCCTGGGTGGGGACTGGCCAGGTGCGAGAGTCTAGGCGGCTGCCGCTGGTCTCCAGCTCTCAGTGGGAAATATGCTCACTGAGTGCGCTTAACAGCCTCTGACGGGGTGACACAGGAACTGAGAATGCGGTGGGACCTCACTAAGTCATCCTCAAAACAAATACTACTTGACGCCGACGCCGGTTTGGCTCAGTAGTAGAGCGTCGGTCTGCAGACTGAAAGGTCCCAGGTTCGATTCCGGTCAAGGGCATGTACACTGGTTGTGGGCACATCCCCAGTAGGGGGTGTGCAGGAGGCAGCTGGTCGATGTTTCTCGCTCATCGATGTTTCTAGCTCTCTATCCTTCTCTCTTCCTCTCTGTAAAAAAATCAATAAAATATATATATTTAAAAACAAAAAACAAAACAAAAAAAGCAAATACTACTTGAGTAAGACCAGGGTCCAGGCAGGATGCTGGACAAAGATGAATCCTTGGAAATCACACATTGGCAGAGAGAAAAGCAGGGTGTCTGGCAGCCTCTGTTTACAGGGCCTCCTGGGTGCTAGGGCGACTCCCATCTGATCACGTTTCACTTCACAGCAGCCTGATTCAGGCATCGTCAGCTCCGTTTACAGGTGAAGAAACAGAGGCTCCACGAGCAAGTCCCCTGCTCCAGGCCACATCGACGCTGAAACCCGCTCAGGGCTGGGGACAGGTAGCTCTAACAGAGGGGAGGTGAGCTGTAGGATGGCAGATGGGCAGCAAGCAAGAGCCAGGGAGCACAGCACAGGCTCTGGTGTGTGTGTGTGTGTGTGTGTGTGTGTGGGGGGGTTATTCAGCTCCCAGGCCTCAGAAGGTAGATGGTTGTGGGGCCAAGGCCTGATCGTTTATGGAACTTCCTAGGAAGGCACCTGGAGAACGTTAGCTAAACTCGTGGGGTAGAAAGGCGTGCAAAGGCTCAGAAGAGGTGTACGAAGGAGAAAGGAAAAGTCGCTGGGGTGTGTGCCCTGGAAAGGAATCTGGCTTGTGGATGGAGGGCTGGGAAGGGGGCATGTCTGGCTTTGGCCACAAGAGGGCGCCTGGCACCAGGCAATGAAGCCTGAAGCTGTCCAGGGAACGGGATGTTGGTTTCCCCAACCTTCAAAGGGAGGGTCTGGATACCCCAACTCGGAACCCTGAAATTCCAGCAGTTAGCAAGCAGCAAGGTGGGCTTATATTGATGCATGTTTGCTCATTCTGAAATTTTATCACCTGCGGCCAATTATTTCTCTTCCTACTGAGAAACACTGCTCACCAGGCTCCGTGGACTTCGTATTTGGTAAAATTTGAAAGGCTTTTCCCCTAGCAATTACCTTCCGAAGGAATAATCTATTTTCCCTCTCTTTGTCTTAGACAAAGAATCATGTACTAACGCTTCACTCATTTTCAGGTTCACTGAATCTGCTGTTTGATGAACAGTGCACCCAGTATTTCAGTGATTGCCATTTCCAGAATTCTATTTTCAAATCTGCCTAGTTTTATTTTCATTTGAGCTTGATTACTGCTTTGTCCCTCGCAGAGTACAGGCTCCAGAAGGGCTGTCAGCCTAGTTATTTTTAGTCTCATACATTTCTTTTCTTGAGGTTTCAGTTACTTTATATTCTGTATCCGATAACAACGTCTGAAGTCCCAGGGGTCTAAATTGTTTATTGATCTGTTGACTCTTACTTAGAGTGACTCATTTCATTGGATGTTCAGTAACTTTTTTGAATAGTTTATAATTCTTTGGTATGCAATATTATGATTATTTTGGTATCTTTCTCTAGAGAATTTGCATTTTTGCTTCTGCCAGACACCTGGAGACAATACTATAAACCTAGAATCATCTTAATTCCTCAGCCCAGGGATTCTTTGGTCTCCGGAGTAATGAAAATCCCCTGAAGGGAGCAGGCATACTTAATAGCCTCCAGTCAGATTTTTTCTTTTCTTTTTCTCTAAGCCGGGGCAGAGAGGTTCTCTGCTTAGCTCCCTTTGCAGACAGGCATGTTTCCCCTGCTGCCTTCTCACTGCGGCTGAAGCCAAAGTGATCATGCCTCTGGCCTTGTGGAGAGGTCCTGTCGTTTTGTTTTCTTGTAGTAGCTCAAAGCCTAGTCTCTCTCCTGTTTCCCATGAGGCAGCTAATCGCTCAAACTTCACTTCTTGAAATTTCTTTTGCTTCCATGAAGCACAGGCTCCCTCTTTTTGTATTCAACCTCCTCTGTGGCTTCAGCTTACTTAAGTTTTTCCTGGTCCTTGGGGATTTCCTATACTTTCTTACCTGTGACCTCGCAGCGATGCAGTCACAAGTATAATACACTGATTAAAACTTATACTTTTGTCCTAGCTGGTTTGGCTCAGTGGGTAGAGCATTGGCCTGAGGATTGAAGGGTCCCAGGTATGATTCAGGTTAAGGGCACATGCCTGGGTTGCAGGCTTGATCCCCAGTAGGGGGCATGCAGGAGGCAACCAATCAATGATTCTCATCATTGATGTTTCTATTTCTCTCTTCCTCTCCCTTTCTGAAATCAATAAAAATTTTATTTAAAAAATTTATACTTTCAACAATAAAGATTAAAAAATACTTTAAAAAATTATCCGGAATCTGGTGTTTATGGCAATGTCATATTTTTCAGTCTGCCATTTCTATAGAAAACATTTAAAAAAATATATTTTTTTTATTGATTTTTTTACAGAGAGGAAGGGAGAGGTATAGAGTTAGAAACATTGATCAGCTGCATCCTGCACACCCCCCACTGGGGATGTGCCTGCAACCAAGGTACATGCCCTTGACTGGAATCAAACCTGGGACTCCAGTTTGCAGGCTGATGCTCTATCCACTGAGCCAAACCAATTAGGGCTCTATAGGAAATTTAACACAGCATTTTACTATATTGTCACTAGAATCCCTGGGATCCTTTTTCCAGAGCTAAGGCAGACCGTGGACTCCTGACTTGGCTACCAGATGTTTCTGTGGTAAGCTGACAGTCACAAGGCTGAGATCCTGTAATTGATCTGGTGGTGGTTTGCAATGCTGGGCAGCTGTGGAGACTGACAGTGGGTCCCCATGTGCATGGAAGATCACATAGCTAAGCCCCCGTCTTGCCTTCTGGGGCCAAGGCCACAGCCAGACCCTTCTCCCTATTCTGAGATCCAGTAACCAATCCCTCAATGCATTTTGAGGCCTGTGAAGTTGGTGGTGCCAACAAGGGTCTGGGCAAGACTGCTTAGAAGTAGGTTTAGGGCAGATGCCAGAGCTGGGTATTCAGGCAACAGAGTGAGGCTCGGGCTAGGACCTTAGGTCACCGAATAAGAAACTGGGCTAGCCGAAACTGGTTTGGCTCAATGGATAGAGTGTCGGCCTGCAGACTGAAGGGTCCCGGGTTCGATTCCGATCAGGGGCATTTACCTTGGTTGCGGGCATAACCCCAGTAGGGGGTGTGCAAAAGGCAGCTGATCAATGACTCTCTCTCATCGATATTTCTATCTCTCCCCCTTCCTCTCTGTACAAAATCAATAAAATATATTTTTTTTAAAAAGAAACTGGACTAATAGCCAAGACTCCATACACACAGGTGCACCTGCACTAATCTGTCATCTCACAGCTGGTTGGAGCATCGCAGAGCCCTGAACATACGATCGGCTTGCTGGTCAGCTTGCTGGAGGCACAGCGCACTGATGGGCTGTCAGGGAAAGCAGTTTGAACATATGCTTTGAGGGGCTGAGAAGCGTTCAGTTCTAGAAATCCCACTTCAGAGAACTATTCCAGAGAAATAAACCAAAGGAAGACCTTCAGTTCAGTATGCAAGACAGGGAAAATGGGAAAGCAATCCAATTGCTCAACAGGAGGTGGAAAATTAAGAAAATTATGGCTTTGATTAAAGCATACAACCCATTCAGCAAGTAAATGGGAAGGCAATGAACTTATGATTTAACATCAGTATAAAAAGGACATGAAACATTTCAAACTTTCTGTGGTTGTTTCCTTATTAAATCACTTAAGGGTGAAGAAACTAACAAGGAGTTGGGAATCTGAAAGCTGTTTGGCACTAACCACAGGCCCACTGGGTGGGCAGGCAAAGTCCCGGGCACGAGCAGCCAGCCCAGTGGGGCGGGCCCCTCAGCTGGCTTCCCGTAGGCCTCGCGGCTGGAACCACCGCTTTAGCAAATCCTGCTTTCATTCTTCTGGTGGCTCTTTGGGCCTCAGCAAGGACCACTGCAGGTCTGCCCACTCCCACTCCCGCCCTCCGCCAACGACGGGGGAAGAAAGAGGAGGACGCGGAAGCCTGTCAGATGCTCAGTGCACTGCTGCCTTCCCTCCCAGGGGCATTCCAGTTTGAGTCACAAAAGGAATATAGCCTTTTTATTGACTACTTTAAGTAGAACAAACTAAATACATATTTAACAGTTTTGGTTCGTTTATACAGTACATTAAATAAGTTATGCACAGAGTTAAGTAACAAAAGTTCCTATCAGAGAAATGACAAAGCACAGAAAAATCAGACCCTACGGCATCCTGCGGGTGGCTTCACATTCATCGAATCCCTTAAAAACCCGCTTGGAGGCTTCATTTTTTCTTTACATTATTGGCTTTCTTTACAGACGGAGCTCTGGTCGCCTCCTCAGGAACTTGGAAAGCTATGAAAGTGGACCGAAGCGCTCTTGGCCAAACAGCACTTTCAGCCATTCACCTAACGCGTACTGCTGCTGCTTTGCCAACTCCGCCAGCCAGCAGCCACACATGCCCTATTTGGTATAAGCATCGTGAGTGTATGCTGGGCAGTAGCGGATCGGACCAGATGCGGTCTGCAGGGAAAGCACCATCTCTGTGGCTGCGGAAGGGAGGGAGGATGCAAGGCCCGCTGCCCTCAGGCCTCTGACCTTCTGGCCCTCGGTGGAAAAGGTCACCTGCATCATCTTTGGAAATGAGCATGTCAAAGCATGTGGGCAAAGAGGCAGGGAGTCAACGTTTTGGTTTCACAAGAACTAGGCACCCAGAGCTGGAAGGGTCCAATTGGGCAGCTGGCCCAGTGCCCACCCCATCCCGGACAGGACTCCTCCTGACAGTGGCTGTCTGGCCCACATGGGAACAGCCCAGGTTCCTCTGGCTTTTCTTACATTTGGTTCACACACACCACCACCCAGTTTTCTGCAAAGAGCTAAAAAATAATAAATTTAAGAAAGTTGGCGTGGTCAACTTACCTGGGAGTCTAGAAACCAGTTCTGAAGAAAGCCTCCAAGATATATTCTATTTTAAATGATTTATTCAATCCATAATCCCTTCCACAATTTCCAGGACAAACAGCCAGCTGGTCATCACTATGCTTTCATTCTGAAGAATTTGCCACCATACAATTCCCATTTGTGTTGCTGAACCTTCAAATCCACTTGCTGAGATCTATTCTGGAGCTACCTAGAACGAGGTCTACACTCTTTGCAAGCGGGTGACAGCACTGGCTATCAATTTGGCTTTGGAATAGGCTGCACAAAGTCAAGTGTAGGTTTTCTGTCTAGAAGCTGAAGATGCTCACATTGAAGTGAGGGGCTCCTGGTAGACCAACCGGCCTGGATGGGCACTGCAGCCAGTTCAGACATACCCATGCTGGGTAGACGTGTCCTTTTCCCAGGACAAGATCCACTCACTCGGTGACCTTAGGGCCCATGGCCCCTGGGGCTGAAGAGCCCTCAAAGTGGAGTGCTCACACCTCAGGAGGTGGGTGGCTATTCCTGCGCAGGTGAAATGAACAAACTTTTTCTAGACTCAGTTTTCACCACGAGGTAGAGCCAGGCACGCTGCAGGCAGTGGGGACACGGAAGGCGACTGAAGATCTGAGGGGCCAGCCCTCAAGTACCCCTCAGAACATCTAACGCACCCACACTGGTCTCTTCTGCTCTTCTCTGGTTCCCACAACCGTTCTTCACTGGGACGATGATTTCCCATCACTTGTCAGTATCCCTGAACACTGGCCTCATCCTCCAAATGTGCTCTGATTGTTGGGCAGGCTTGTGTCGCTTGTTTTTAAAATTTATTAAATTTATTGGGGTTGATACTGGTCAACATGTATCACATTTGCTTTTGACTTTTAGGGTAACATTGAAGAACCTGTGACTGCCTTGATAACATCTTCAGTACCATCACCCAAACTCTTCTTTTTGTCCCCCCAAATATAAGCTATAAAAGTTGGTCCTCTAAGAAACCTGATTATTTAAAAAATATTTAAAATCCAACTAGATGAAGGTGGGAAGCCTGAACTTGATACCTCCACCTGGTAGCTGGGGTGGTATTAGCAGAAACTGGAAATTAGTAGGGAACTCAGACTCGGTCCCGAGCCACTGCCAGTGCCATCACCTCCTCCCAACCAGAGAGCTAGAGAATTTCAGACAGGAAGCTAGAGAAAGAAATTCTTTCTAGCTAAATAGTGAGTCTTGAACAGGTGCCTGCAACCCATGTGAAACTGACCAAATACCGCTGAGGGTTTCAGCTTGGACTCTCGATAGAACATGAGCAAAGCAGTGTTGAATAGCATCACAAAAACTCTGAAAACTAAGCTATCATTGGAACCACAGCCCACAAAGAGTCAGCTAGGACCTGCACAACTAAACCTATGCCTTCGCTTAAGAAAAGGAGATCAAGCACTGATAATATTTTGTTGATTTTTGGTCTTTATTCCAACCGGGAAAAATCTGATCTACCCTGTCTAGTCTTGTGGGTACTTAAGATTAAAGAACCCCATCCTAGCTGTTTTGGCTCAGTGGATAGAGCATCAGCCTGTGGACTGAAGGGTCCCAGGTTCGATTCCTGTCAAGGGCACATGTCAGGATTGCAGGCTCGATCCCCAGTGGGGGGCGTGCAGGAGGCAGCTGATTGATGATTCTCTCATCATTGATACATCTTTCTCCCTCTCTCCCTTCCTCTCTGAAATCAATATATATATATATAAAGAGATTAAAGAACCTGTGTTCATCTGATTTGCCAATGAAAAGACAGTGAGTGAGCTGAGGACAGACCCAATGGACACCTCGAAACACCCTCTTGCTATAAACTGATTTATAGGCCCCATGACTTCCTTGGGGGGCATTCTGTATCTTATGAAAATTTAGACAAGTCCCATCTGGGCTGCTGACTTCATCCCTGTTAAAGTCAGAACACCCACAAGTACTGCAGCTGAGAGTTCCAAATCAATGTAACATTACTATTCTTCCTTCTCTGTGTATACTTCACTTTCTGCAACGGAAATACAGGTATTTTAAAGGTGCCTTGTATTGAGTTTCTTCATAAGATAGAACATCCTTGGGTAAGGTCAGTTAGGGACTAGAAATTCTTAAAGCAAGGACAATGCTACAATACCTATGCTGATTACTTTCCCTTTATAGGACGAGAGCTCCTATTTCACTCTCATCAGTGACAGAAAGTGGCTACCTAAAGCAGGCTCTTAAGTGCCAGCAGGAGCAAGGATGACCAACACACCCAACTGATTCCGTGGGGAGAGAAAGTGCTGGAGGTGGAGAGTAGAAAAGTCAGGGGGAAAGTGTGTGGCAGTTGTTAACATTTTAAAACAGGTTTAGGGGATGTCATATTTGGAGAACCAGGTCAATAGCTGGAAAACTCCCTGAAGATAGGAAGAAAAACTGGTCAATGGCTCTCACATTTCACAAAATTTCTTAGCTCAAAATGGGTATGTATCAAACACACGAGAAGGGAATCTGAGATTGTGTGTCCAATAGTAAACTGATGCAGTTCTGTGTGATGACATGAAACCATGAGGTCTGAAGAATTCTTCCTGGTCCATGAGGGCTGCTCAGAAGTAACCAGGCCCTGATTAGTGAGGCGAGTCCTAGTCACACCACATCACATCCTCTGGAGCAACTGTGGCTTCAGAGGTGCCAAATAGAGACCATACACACTGTGATCTGGACACGCGTGGTCTGAGATAAGACACAGAACAAGATGACTGTGCGCACAGCCAAGCGGTGACAAGAGGTTCTGTGTTTCCAAAGGATGATCCATCCAACAACTTGACGATAGCAGTTGGCCAAAATGCTCAGGGAGAACAGACTAATCCACACCTGAGTCTCATTCTTCTTCAGACCAATCCATGTGCGGGAAACTTTTCTGCACAGCAAAATCAAATCAGAGAGAAAACTGGGTTCCAAACGAAAGCAGCCAGGCAGGTAGGAAAACTATCCAAGATGATCTGCGATGCTTGGTGGAAGTTTTATTTTTTTATTGTAATGGGTGCTTTTACTAAAATGGTGACTTTGCTGTGGTTTCTGAGAATTTTAACAAGTCTGAACAGCAGGGTCAGGGGAGTCCTGAGCGCTGCTTTTTGCCTCCCAAGTCCCCTTGCGGCCAATCAGTGGCATCTGCTGAGGGTGGAAATGGGCTCATGAAGCTGTTGGGGATGAGGGGCCACTCCCTGTCAGGAGGACCCTCTCCACAGCCTGCTCTCAGCCTCCAGGCCTCTGCTGCGGGAGGACAGTGGAGCAGGAGACGGTGCATGGGGCCAGCTGCCTCCAGCCTGGCCGGGCACGTATGACAGTCTGCTGCCTCCAGAGGCGGGAGGGGAGCTGGTGGTCTACACTGAAAAGGCGCCCGCCACGCCAGCTCCAGTTGGGAGAGGAACACACCAGAAAGCCACGGAAGAGGCAGCTCCAGCCAACTGCCTGTGTGCACACTATTTCCCCCAAGGACACAGATGGGAAACCGGGACAGATGTCTGGAGAGGCTGTGAGCAGTGTTTGCTGGGCTTGGACTCTTTCTGCCTCCACTTCACTTCTTGCTAATGACCCAGCAGCTACTTGTCCTGGTCCAGCCCTGGTGCTGAGAGGTCATCAGGGGAAGGAGCCCGGGCTCAGAGTCCGTTGCTGTCGATGGCTGTCACAGAGGCAGGTGTTGAGGAGCGCGAGGTGGTTGCGGAGGTCTTGTCCAGCGCTGGGCTCGGCACGCTGCAATCGGCAGACCTGGCTGACCGCCCTCCAGGAAGCAGTGGCCGGCTCTGGCTGTGGGGACTCTGGCCGTGCAGGTTCTGGCCACAGAGGCGGTGGTGCCGCTCCCAGTCCTTATGCTGGCAGAAAGAGCCGCAGTATCGTGCGATATTGCAGCCGCTGCAGGTCTCGCTGGCTTTGCGGCCACAGTTCCAGCAGTTCTGCAAGCACAGACACCGGTTAGTTGCTTGGATATTGTGGGGCAGGCTTGTCATCACTCATCGCCTGCCCTGCAGAAGCGGGGGGTTGGACCTACACACACCTGTGCTTGTCCTGTCTCTGCTCTCAGGGTTTCCTGAGTAACACAGGAAGAGTATCCACCCGACTAAGGGGACAGCAAGATGAGGGGGATGTGAACACACAAACAGCATCCCTGCAGGGCAGGCGGAAGCCCCACACTCTATTGAAGGCACTAACTCACGATTTATTCCTCAGTAGCCAAACCTAACTGTCCCAGCGTCCCCCATCATAACTGTCTATTCTAAGACCACACATGGTTTCTTCTCTTGGTCTTCCCAGCAGAGGAATAACCATATTTTCAATGACAACACCTGATCTTTTAGAAAAGTTACCGGCCAGGAGCATAGATGGTTATATTACTTCCTCTGTGTCCATTCTCCTTTAAGAGTTGTGCCTTGTCATAGGTTGTGAGGTGTGTGAGAGCTACAGGTAGAAGCCATTAGAGAGGCAGTTGTGCCTTGACAAGGGGGTTGTGAGGCGTGGTGAGAGCTACAAGTAGCAGCCAGGAGAGAGGCAGCTGAAACCTGCTCCTTAGTACTCTCCTCCTTCCTCTAGATTCCAGTGGTGGCTCCAGCTGTGACACAAGTGTTTTTTCCGCACCCAGTTCTCCAGGTCCACCTTCAACTGTTGAGAAAAGCCTTATGGCATTGGCCAGAGGACGCTCCCAGGTCCCAGGGAGGGGCAATGATTTCTTAGGCATCTGGAAGGACTTGAGCAACTCCTCTCTCCCCAAGTTCTCCAGAACAGCAGAGCCAACCACAAGGCCCGTCTGACCACTCCCCATGAAATCAGGACACTTGTTCAAGTGACAACAGGACAGCAAGCATTGAAAAGGGCCACCTGGCCCACCTCTTGGGTTGCACAGATGGGACACTGAGGCAGGGACTTGCCTAAGGTTATAATTTGTTTAGTTGGCCCTGGCCGGTGTGGTTCAGTGGATTGGAGCATTGTTCCATACACCAAAATGTTATGGATTTCATTCCCAGTCAGGGAATATATGGTCTTCCTCCCTCTCCTGCTAAAATCAATAAAAACAGCCTCGTCAGAGGGCTCAGTTGGTTTGAGTGCCATCCTTGCACTAAAAGGTTGCCAACTGGACTCTTGGTCAGGGCATGTAACTGGATTGCAGGTTTGATCCCGGATTGGGATGCGTATGGAAGGCAATCGATCAATGTTTTTCTCTCTCTCAGCATGTCCTTGGGTAAGGAATAAGCAAAAAAAGAAATAAATAAAAACCAATAAAAACATATCCTCAGGTGAGTAACAAAAATTACGTGGTCATGCAAGTCTAGAACCCAGACCTCCTGCCTGCACTATACTCAATGTGGAAGTTTAGTTTCAAAGAACATTAGAGAGGGCAGTATACTTCTCTCTAACACATCAGGCTTCTCAGGAAATACACGCTAAGGACTGCCTAAACTTGCCGACACAAATGCCAGAGGACCAAAATAGGAAGCTGAAGTAATTCTTAAGGCTCAAGCAAACTGCATTCCAGAGAACGCCAGACTTTGGAGCCTGAAAACAATGCGCTGGCAGAACATTACCACTTGTGGGGAAGACCTCAGTGGTTGTCTGCGTGGGGCTGCTGTCAAAACATGCCAACCGGGCAGCCCTAGCTGATGGGAGACTTCTACTCCCTCTGCCCAAGTCTGTCTCAAACCGGGCAGAGTACTAAAGCACTGGAACTTTCGCTTGGATGCCATTTTATTAAAAATTGCTTATTTAATAATTTATGAAACATAATAAAACAAGGTAAGGAAAACAGCTTCCCACTGAGGCAGGAGCAGTCTATACACGCAGGAACATTGTGGTGTCAGAGCAGCCAGAGCGAACAGGTCATTGTTGTTCCCTTTCCCCTGACATTTCCTGACTTAATCACGAGGCTTTGGCTACGATGGAAGACAAGAAAGGTTTATTATGTAGTTGCCCTTCAAATCATCATTCCGTGAATCAGGAGGTCACAGTTCGATTTCCGGTCAGGGCACGTGCCTGGGTTGTGGGCTTGATCCCCAGTGTGGGATGTGCAAGAGGCAGCCAAGCAATGATTGGCTTTCATCGTTGATATTTCTATCTCTCTCCCTTCCTCTCTGAAATCAATTAAAAATGACTTTTGATCACATAATGCAATATACATTTCTGACAGAAAGTAAAAATTTGGAGAAATTACATTCTCACCAATATAACCTTTCACTCATCTGAAACCTGGTATCACTGCACAGTCTGCAGGGTAAATTAAATAAACTATTTCCTCACAAGCCGGTACCTTTTATAGAATGTTACAGTGAGGAATTTTCCACATCTGTGATGGCCACATGACATTTAGACATTTTTGTCTTTACATCGTCATGCTTGGCATTGCTCTATTGAAAGGGATCACTTAAAAGATTGAGAAAATAAACTTCCTGTTGTTTAAGAAAACAAACAAACCAGCCCTAGCCAGTTTGGCTCAGTGGATAGAACGTGGGCCCGATGACTGAAGGGTACTGGGTTCGATTCTGGTCAAGGGCATGCACCTCAGATGCAGGTTCCCTGGCCCTGGTCAGGATGCATGCAGGTGACAACCAATAAATGTGACACATCAATGTTTCTCTCTGTCTCTCCCTTTCTCTTCCTCTCTCTAAAAACCAATGGAAAAATATCCTTGGGTGAGAATTAACAAAAATATATATTTTTTTAAATAAAGAAAACAAATTGACTAAAATACCCAGTTTTTTTTTGTTTTGTTTTTTTTATAACTTAAAGAGAATGTCCCAAAGATAGTTAATTTTTTCAATTAGTAGATGGAATTTACCTATTTAGAAATAAACAGGCTTGGTGTTTTTGTCATGTGCTATTCCCACCCCCTCCCCGCTCAGTTTATTTTTATCCTCTGTGGTACAAGAGTGTCTTGTTTCTCTTAGAAGCATCACCAAGTCCTGGGCCATGGAGAGTTGGGCCGATCTGCCCCATCTGTCACTTCAGCCCATAAAGAACTACCCTCTTTACAAGCAGCCCAGAGGCGACCGGGGCTCCATTTCCTCACTCCTGCACCCCGGCTTCGGCACTGGGCAAAGTCCCTAATCCACAGTGTCCTCACCTGTGAGATTGGAATCCAGGAACACCCACCTCCTAGAGCCATTGTGAGGATCAAAAAGGCAATACACACACCTGGCTTTGTGGCTGACACACAGTACATAAGCCCACTCAGCGAAGGGGAATGTCAGCATTACCATGCAATCCACCAACTCAGGTATTAGGGTGAGTTTTCAAAATTAAAATCAATATAATAAGAATATTATACATGATGGGGCAAAAGTAGGTTTATAGCTATGAGTATGCGAAGCACAGAGTTTATCTTAAAAAAATACTTTTTATTGATTTTCAGAGAGAGAGGAAGGAAGAGGAAGAATCATCAATGTGAGGGCAAAACATAGATAGGCTGCCTCTGCACACCCCCTACTGGGGATTGAACCTGCAACCTAGGCTGTGTGCCCTGACCAGGAATCCAACAGGCTACCTTTTGGTACACAGGACAAAGCCCAGCCAACTGAGCCATACCAGCCAGGGCGAAAGAGTTTATTGTATTTATTAAATATTGCATTATTTTCCATATGAACAACTGTAAATCTACTTTTGCCCCACTTTTTAGGATACTTCCTAAAATATAAATAACTACCTGTATAATTGGCAATAAAACCCTTCTGGTACTGGATAGTTCAAGAGCGACGGTTCTGTCTTGCTGCCTAGCACTTAAGCGGAAAGCAGTGGGCTGGTCCACTCCAGCTGCCCCAGCCCCAGCCCCGGCCCCGGCCCCGGCCCCAGCCCCCAGGAATAACAGAACTCTGACCTCCGTTGACTCTTCCTGTTCATTTATGACAAGGAAGGCATCCTCTGCGGCCTGCCGTTTGACGTCGGCTATGGTTTGCTCCATCCGAGCTCTCTCTGTTGCAATCACTTCAAAGGCTTTTTGCTCTGCCTCAGCAACGGCTTTCTGTACTTCTGACATGGCCTGAATTTTCACCTTATTCACAGCTTCTTCTAGAAGAAAGTGACAGTAAAATCAACTGGCCGATAAATCTTTTCCCTCCCACCCCACGTCATTTCTAAATAGGGACAAAACTAAAACTAGATGACTTTTTAAAAAAATACACAGGGATGAACCTATGGCACATGTGTTCACTTGTATTCTTACACTCACTCACTTGTCCATTCATGCAACCATTTATTGAGTATATAGCTGGAGGTGGGCACTGTGCTTGGGACTGGGGACAGCGAGGTGACTAAGACATAGTCTCTATTCTCATAACTGTTTGTGATAGTATAAAGGTGGCTTAGGTGTCAGTCTGAGAGCCACAGGGAAAGTGGTCAGCTTTTAAGAGTACAAGTCCTGGTTGAGATGGGAGGCGGAAATGAATTTTTGGGAAGTCTTGCATCTCATGCTAAGGAGTTTGGCCCTTTTTCTAAAGAAAATGTGAACTCTAAACCTAAAGGGTTCTACGCAAGGAGAAAAACATGAAGGCTGAAGAGCCAATCGAGAGACTGGGACAATTCAGAAGAAGAGATAGAACAGTCTCTGAATTTAGGCAGAAGCAAGTAGCACAGAGTAAGGGAGGGAGGCAGAACGAGATCAGCAGCATCTAGGGGTCTGGAGGTGAAGGTAAAAGGGAAGGACGGTAGTGGTATGCAACAGAACGAATAATAAGCAAAATGCTGGGATGGAGACAAGAGAAGGCTATGGTGCCTCTGGGGCAGGGGTCCTCAAACTTTTTAAAGTGGGGGCCAGATCACAGTCCCTCAGAGAGCTGGAGGGCCGGACTATATGAACTACTAATTCCTACTGTAACACCTCGGCTGCACTCACTGCCCAAAAAATCTGGCGGGCCGTAGTTTGAAGACGCCTGCTCTGGGGCATCCAGGTAAAAATGAACAGGAGGCAGCTGGTATAAAATATTGACCCAGGTAGAGAAAAATGGGAAGATTGCTGGGAATCCTGGACTTTCACAGACGTGTCCAGTTACCATTACCCCACTTGGCTCCCGGTCACTTTCTCCCATCATCACCCTGCATGGTTTCTATAGGATGGGCACTCCAAATCAGCGGTCACCAACCGGTGGTGGGCCATGAGATCCGAAAGGTTGGAGACTGCTGCTCCAAATAACTTACTATGCACTTGAGCCTCAGCCCTAAGTCCCAAAGTAAATGACCTCCCTCCTGAGACCACAAAATGACAGAAGCCTAAGGAAGCTCCCTGCTGCTTGGCTCTTGCATGTGGCCTATGCTCAAAGGAGGTTTAAACAGAGTGTTCTAGGCCAGTGGTCGGCAAACTCATTAGTCAACAGAGCCAAATATTAACAGTACAACGATTGAAATTTTTGAGAGCCAAAATTTTTAAACTTAAAATTCTTCTAACACCATTCTTCAAAATAGACTCGCCCAGGCCATGGTATTTTGTGGAAGAGCCACACTCAAGGGGCCAAAGAACCGCATGTGGCTTGTGAGCCGCAGTTTGCTGACGATGGTTCTATGCTATCATCACAGAACTTTGCACTTTATTGCTCCAGCCTTAAGAAAGGAAAGTTTTCACCTAAAAGGCCAAGCAAGAATGATGCTGAGTTGACTTGGCACTGAACTCCATGCTTCCTTTATTCTTAAAAAAAAAAAATAAAAAAAAAAAAAGTATTTTTATTGATTTCAGAGAGGAAGGGAGAGGGAGAGAGATAGAAACGTCAATGATGAGAGAGAATCATTGATTGGCTGCCTCCTGCATGACCCTTATTGGGGATTGAGCTCACAACCCGAGCATGTGCCTTTGACCGGAATCAAACCTGGGACCTTTTAGTCCACAGGCCAACATCCTATCCACTGAGCCAAACCAGCTAGGGTTCCTTTCTTCTTGATAGCCACACAGTTCATTGTGGCTCACCACATCTATCTTTCATATCCTACTAGTTACCAAATAGGTATTAAGTCTCTCTTATTGAGCCAACATAATGGCCTGAAGAACATTTATCCTCTAAGTTTAAGGATCAATAAAAATCAGTTTGGCTGAAACCAGTTTGGCTCAGTGGATAGAGTGTTGGCCTGTGGACTGAAGGGTCCCAGGTTGGATTCCGGTCAAGGGCATGTACTTTGGTTGTGGGCAATCCCCAATAGGGGGTGTGCAGGAGGCAGCTGATTGATGTTTCTAACTCTTTAACCCTCTCTTCCTCTCTGTTAAAAATCAATAAAATATATTTTTTAAAAAAGCACAGTTTGAATAACTATCTTGCGCAAGGTAATTCAAGGTCACAGGTGGCACTAGACCAGAACAAGGACTCAAATTTAGCTGGCCTAATGCCATAATCTGGTTCTTAACCAAAGGTACCTCCCAAGTAGAAAATCACCAGTTACCACGGAGATCTTGTGCACGAAAATTTTTTGGATTGCCAGTAAAAGTAAACATTTTGCAACACGTTCATGTAAATTTCTCATAATTTGTCCATTTGTTTATTAGGTTCTTGATGGTCTTGAAAGTCTTTCTGAATGATAGGTATTAACTTTTTGTAGAAATAAATTTTATCTTAAGAAGAAAATAAAAACTATATTGGGCTAAAAATAAATGTTACTAGGAAAGGCAGGCAAGAAGAAAAGGTAGCTAGAATTTGGATGAGATAAATATTAAGAATGAGATATTAATTTAAATCCCTATCTTACCACAATAGGCAGTCCTACCTTCTTTATTCTTGTAGAAACTGAGGCTGCCCCAGAACTAATTTGATGAAGCTGGGGACAGTGAAGGTGAAAGGAAAAAGTTTTTTCAAGAGCAGAATAAATGAAATGTGGTAGTACAGTGTGTGCAGATTCTAGTGACCAGAACAGGCAGAAACGAATTAAGCTACATGGCCAGAAACAGAGACTCCAATACATAGGGAAGAAAGAGTTGGTTCCTTAATGTCTGAGTGTGACCCAGAAGCATATTAAAGGAACCTGCATGGTCTGCCGGGAGGCATTCCAAATTCTTGACCTGCAAAGTAACATGAGGGACATCCAGATGTGTGGGAAAGCTGGGGGAGAGAGGCAGTAGCCTAGAGTTCTATGAGGAGGTTGTTGAGACAACCATCTTTCCCTCAAATATGTGCTGAACACTGACACAAATCAGTGAGTACATGCATCCTATAAGGAGACAGGCACATACCGGTTTTTTTCCAAAATTCCACAGGTACATATCCTGTTGCTGGCCTACTGTTGAATTCCCGCTGAGGATCTACAGGAGAGAGAGAAGTAGCAAGGGTCAGAAATTATCTATGATCGGCATGTTTTCTTTTTATGAAAAACTTACCAGATCTTTTCCACTTAAGACTCAAAAATATATGTTCATTTAGTGCAAAAATAATCTGATAAGGGATAAAACAGCACACTTAATTTTTAATTTTAAATCCTCACTCGAGGATATTTTTACCATTGATTTTTAGAGAGAGTGGAAGGAAAAGGGACAGACAGAAACATCAATGTGAGAGAGACACGTTGATTGGTTGCCTCCTGCACACCCAATCAGATCTGGGGGAGCCTGCAACCGAGGTACATGCCCTTGACCAGAATCAAACCCGGGACCCTTCAGTCCGCAGGCTGATACTCTATCCACTGAGAAAACTGGCTAGAGCTTAATTTTTACTTTTAAAACACATACCTGCATGCCTCAGATATTAACAGTATTTCAAAATAGTGAGATTAAAAGTGATCTCCACTTTCTACTTATCAATGTGTCCTTATTTTCCCCTCTGCACATATATGTATTTCTAAGGTACTTTATAAAATATAAATAACTATAGATATTTATGTGTTACATATGTGTGTTTTCGTATTAATTGAACTGAACTGTCCCCATCATGCACAGGGCACTACTGGCAAATGCTCTGTAGGTATGTCAGAGAATATAGCTTTTGTTTCTTGGCAGGCCGGAACCCTTACATGTGATTTAAGGAGGTTTCCTGTAAATTTCTTTAAACACTCATAAATAAACAAACAAACACACACACACACACCAAGCAGTGAAAATAGTCTGAACTAGAACAGTGCATGTCAAATGTACCATAAAGAGGCATTCCAGGGGTTCTGGGAAAGACACAGGGTGGAGGGTGACTTATCATGTGGTTGTAAAATGTAATATTATATAAGAAATGGTTCTATTGCTTTCAAAACTGTGAAAACTAATTAAGGTAATTTGAATGTTATTGTTTTTGTTAGTGGCCTCCTTCATTTTTAAAAAAAATTGATTTGAGAGAGAAACACTGATATGCTGTTCCACTTATTTATGCATTCACTGTTTGAGTCTTGTGTGTGCCCTGACTGGGGATGGTACCTGCACCTTGGTGTATCGGGACAAGGCTCTAACCAACTGAGCTACCCAGCCAGAGCCTCCCTCACTTCCTTATACTTTGTTGAGGTTAATCTGAAAAGTAGATTTATTGCTCTACACACGCACCAATCCGTGGGGCAAAGAGGAATCAGGAGAACAGCCAGTGTGGCAGGGGAGGCCAGCCCGGCACAAAACATTTGCCCAAGAGGCTTTATAAAATCGTTAGTTTTCGTGAGAATGCCTGGGAACTGGCTGCAAACTGGTTTTGGATAGAGAGAATTAGCACAAAGAACATACTACCATATCTCCCCCAAGCTGTGAGAGGATGAGGAGATTTTTATTTATTTTAGTTAATCCTCCCCCGGAGGATATTTTCCCATTGATTTTTAGAGAAAGTGGAAGGGAAGGGGAGAGACACACAGAGAGAAATACCGATGTGAGAGAGACACACCAATTGGTTGCCTCCTGCACATCTGCAACTGAGGTTTGTGCCCTTGATTGGAATCAAATCCAGGGCCCTTCAGTCCTGGGGCCGATGCTCTATCCACTGAGCCAAACTGGCTAGGGAAAGGAGATTTTTTAATCCTGGAAAATACACGTAACACTTATCATTTTAGAGTACAAAGTATTATTCAGTGATATTTTTTGTACATTCACAATGTTGTTCAACTTTCACCCTTATCTAGTTTCAGAACATTACCATCACCCCAAAAGGGAATCCCTAGGTTTAACATTTTGATAGTATTAATACTTTTTATGATATTGTGCTATGTAGGAAATGCTATCATCACTGCCAATAAAAAGAAAACTGAAGGGCTCTTTTCAACATAGGTGAAATTCATGATTCAAATCTCATACCTAAGTATGAGACTGATGTAATATGGGCGGGGGTGTGTGTGTCTAGGACTGGAAGAGGCAAGGTAACATAAGCGAAGAAGGTGGGTCAATTTCAACTGAGTCCTCCGCTGCCCCCAAGGAAAGCCAGTAAGAAAGGGGGTTTTGAGTGTGTAGATAAGCAATCATGGATGTGAAATGAGAGAAGAAACACGTGTTTACTTGTGAGGACGTGGCTGTCTTAAACCACCCTACTTCAGTTATCAATAAGCCTTGGTCATATCCTTTGAGGACCGCCCAATCCTCAGCCAAGTGGTGAGATGTACCTGACCCTAAAACTTCTCAGCTTACTCAAGAAATGCCTGGGAGCTAGGGACATTTGCATATTTCCCAAAGCCAGAGACAGAAGTCAGGATTTTCAGGTGGATCACTAAGAAAACTAGTGTTTCAGAGGTTACTGTAATCAAAGGCCAGACAGATAATGCAAATGAATGGGTCAAAAATGTGGGGCTAGCCAAAACAGGTTTGGCTCAGTGGTAGAGCGTCGGTCTGCGGACTGAAGGGTCCCAGGTTCGATTCCGGTCAAGGGCATGTACATTGGTTGCGGGCACATCCCCGGTGGGGGGTGTGAAAGAGGCAGCTGGTCGATGTTTCTTTCTCATCGATGTTTCTAGCTCTTTATCTCTCTCCCTTCCTCTCTGTAAAAAATCAATAAAAATATGTTAAAAAAAAAATGGGGGGCTAATGGTATTGTGGTTATGTAGGGGAATGCTCTAGTTCTTAGGAAACAGTAAATGAAGGATGCAGGTAAAAGTCTTCAGTGTGGGAAATGAGCTAGTAAATTCTTTATATGTTTCTGTATTTTCTACAATAAGCCATGCAGGTTCACTGAAAAATGACTTATCTTGTGAGGTCCTGAGAATTAAATGATAATGTACATAAAGGAGTCCAGACTCCATCTCAGACCAATTGAACTGGAAACTTGAGGTAGGGCCAGGGTCTCAGGACTTTTTTGAAAAGTCCCCACATGGGTCCTAATGGGCCCCCAGGGTTAAAAAAAAAAAAAAAAAAAAAAAAAAAAAGTGCCTAAGAACACAGTGTTCATATTTAAAGATCTTCCAAATCGGAGCATCATCTCTTTGAAGTCATGTATATTTTCTATTTTGACAATGATAAAATGTCTTTTTTTAAAGCTGATTTTTCTGGTATTGCTACAGCTTGATGCCCTCCCTCCCCCCCCACCGGTTTCAGGCATTATTAACTGACTAGTTATTTCAATAGGAATTTCATTCTTTTAACCTCTACCCCTCACCCCACCAAACACATTCTGGGCTATTCCAGTCTGAATTGGCTACGTTCTAGGCTTGTTGTACCACTGTAGCTTGGGATCCTCCCTCACTATCCTAGGGATTCCTTTCGGCTCTTTCTCAAGCTGGTTCCTATTTCATCAATTATGTCTTCCACCTTCTGGTTTACTTCTCTGTACTTTCCTTCCTAATCATAGTAGACACTACAATAAAGGGGTTGTTAATCTAACAGTTAATTGTTTTTGGTTGAGTACAGAATTCTAAGCAAAGTAACTTTCCTTCAGATTTGTATTTATTCTAACTTCCAGTGTTACACACTGATAAGTCTGTTTCTTCCACTGTGTTGTTTACTTGGTAGGATGGTTCAACCTGCAATACTGTCTTTCAGTTATGGGTAAATTTTCTGAATTACTTCAATAACTATTCTATTTTCACTTTCTGTTCTGTTCAACATTTCTGAAAGTCATGATTTGAATATATGAGTTTGACAGAAACTCTATTTTTTTAAAATCGTTTTCTTTCTAACTTGCCTGATCACTGGATTCATTAAACATCTATATTCAGATTCATTGGTCCCCAAATCATAACCTCCAGGAAAAGTCCTGGAATGTGTACTTATAATAAATGGCCAGATTAATCACATTCCCAGAAAAACTGGGAAAAATTGACAGCTGAGTCAGTTTCTTTCATTAAAATTCTTTTAATTGCCAAAACATTAAATGGCTAACAGGTTTATAAAAACATTAATGTATAAATTAATGAAAAATTATAAAGTGAACACCCATTAGCTCCCAGGTCAAGAAAGAAAACACTTCCAAAAACACAAAATCCCCAAGAAAATCAAGTGGTAAACCTCAGTGTTGTTTAAATGATGATAAACAGTAATCCTGTTCTGAGAACAGCTGATAAGATGATGGGACCTCACACTCTGTATCATTTGTAACATCTGCCCCCTGGTGGTCAATGTGGGTCATAGCGATTGGTCGAATGGTCAACTATTTTGTTGGACTTAGCATATTAGGCTTTTATATATATAGGTGAGTAAAGTAATAATATCATCCAGTCTCCAATCACTTTCTTTCCAAATCACCCAAACACTTAAATACTAAATACTTCAATAAAAATCAACCAAGGTTTCTATATAACCCAGAACATGAATTACCTAGTCATTTAAAAGTCCTTGGTGTGTGTGTGTGCTAGGCCTCAAAATATACTGTAGTTCAGTGTAGGAGAGTGCTATTCACAGTGCTGGTCTGCAAACTGTTGTTGTTTTTTTGTCCGTGAAGAGATATGGGACTTACACCAGAACACAAAGCAACTATGTCTTAAGCACACTGCTTAGTGCAGAGGACTCTTCTCATAGTGAAGCTAATGGTGCCTGATACATGCTGGGGTAAGCGTCTCAGATCAATCACAGACCAGTGATTTTGGTCACATTTTTTTTTTTTTTTTTAGTTTTGGTCAAATTTTGAATAGCACACTAGTTTAGGATATGAATTATGCTTCCCTTTCTACACTGCAATGGATATGTAGTACAAAAAACAGTGAAATAAAAATATCAAGTAGATACTAAAAGATACTGTTCAAGTCAGACAAATTAATATCCCTGAGAAATCTGAGAGAATGAAACACTGGATATGTGAAGAGCTAAAACCTAGAGTGACTATTTATTATCCCAACTGTCCTCATTTGAGAGTGAGGTAGGTGCTAGTAATTATTAAGACAGGATAAACTGGAACTTTGCCAGGCAAATTAGAACATATATTCATCCTAGCTAGACCCTCAAGAAAAGGGTGAAAATGAGTAGAGGTGGATGCAAAGCAAAAATTGCAATCCTGGTGGGAGAAGAGCTGACTCCTGACTCCATATCTCACTTTGCATTCATGCAGACTCGTTGATGGAAGGTTTGTGATTTGGATGGCGAACTTTGGGTAAATTTCTGCAAGTTGTTCAAGGTATTCTTTGATGTCTTGCTGTGCTAGATCTCCCAATGTTGCTAACTTATGGTTGGCTCGAGTCACTTCTGTGGATGAGTTGGGACTGATTGGGATTCCAATCTTTTTGTATAATTTTTTTTTGTCTTTTTGAGGCTAACGACTGTCTTCTGTGGAACATACTAGGTCTGTCATAGGAGATTTTCCTGGTGAGACTCTGGAGCTTGAACTGAGTGGGTGGGGAAAGAAACTATCAGACGGCCCCTCATTGATCTGTATCTTTAGATAAGGCGCCTTTTCAGTTATTAGGTGAATGTGACGGAACACTTCGGAGGGAATAGTTTTGGCATCCTAGATGTACCCTGGATTGAGAGAACAGTTGCTGCCTCAGGCAGGGAAAAGGGACAGCCCAGATTGATAAAGTAAAATCTTTTGTAGAGACATCCAGGCAGAGGTTGAAAATAGTATTTTCCTGGCTGTGGAGTTGGAAAAAGACAAGGGAAAGTGAGGCAAACGTGTTCAGGCTACAGTGAGGAATAAATGTAATGTACGTAAGAGTATCTAGTACATTCAGCCATGCTGAATTTAATAACCAAATACTCTTTTATCATCATCTAGCACATATACTGAGAGTTAAAAACAGAACAAGATAACAAATATTCTCATTTTCCATGAGAAAGACAAAAGTTCCTGAACATGCTAAATACCGAGTCCTTGAAATATTTTATCATTTACTCTTCATAATCATCTGGGTCTTTTTAACTCCACATTCTAGCACCACCTTCCTTTAAAGTGAAATATAAAAAGCTGGTCTTGCCATCTTACCACTGCTGAGAGAATCTGCGCTCCCAGGACTGTGCTGCCTGGAGACCAGTTCATTCCCTGTTTTCCTCATCTCTGTGTTTTCGTTATATCGTCTTTTCCAGTAGTTGAGTTCATCACGATCAGATTCCTGACAGCGCCGCAGAACTGCCATGGAGCGCCTTGTTTTTTCTACCATTTCCATAATGCAGTTCAGGGCCTGAACCAGAGAAGAAGTCAGGCAGTGATGAGATGAAGACATTCAAACACTGATGTTGCAAATCAAGGATAGGTAAACAAATTATATAAATAATGAAGGTTTAAGGGTCTTATAGACACAATATCAAGCTTACATTTTAAAGCCTTTATTACAGCTTCTTTAAAAATATTTAGTTTATATAAATATGTGCACACACACACAATTTATTTTTTGTTTAGATTTCAAAATAACACTGGATTCTTTAAGGTTGAAGTAATCAGACTCTCATTATAATATAGCCCTTTAAAGACTATGGTGACCATGGAAATGATAATATGCTGGTAAAGATCTGGAGTGGGTGGATGGGTAGGGACTTAGTGGAGGAGGATAAAGGGGGAAGTAGAATATATATGTTATACTGACAACAATAAAAAAATGAAAAGTTAATGAGAATAAAAACAATACTTAAAAACCAAAAGACTTTGGTGAAACCTTATATATTTGCATAAACACACCAACGTATCTGATGAAGCTGGCGATTTATTAACAATGTTATGGGGGGGGGGAAATGGTAAAATATGTACACAGATAATTTAATTAAAAAAAAAAAAAAAAAGAACTCTAACCAGTTTGGTTCAGTGGATAGAGCATTGGCCTGCGGACTGAAGGGTCCCAGGTTCGATTCCAGTCAAGGGCATGTATCTTGGTTGTGAGCACATCCCCAATAGGGAGTGTTCAGGAGGCAGCTGATTGATGTTTCTCTCTCATCAATGTTTCTAACTCTCCCTCTCCCTTCATCTCTGTAAAAAAAAAAAAAATCAATAAAATATATTTTTTTAAAAAGAATGTTATTAGAGAAATAACATTCAGAGACAATTTTTATCACTCAAGATTCAAAGAGCTACTGTATATATACTTAATGAAGTACTATATCTTCTCTTCCCTTTTAGTGAGAAGGGAAACCCTCTCTTACAATGAGACAGAGAACTTGGGCTTGTATTCTGTACTGGCATTTTTGATTCTCATTTGTTTTTGGAGAAGCTCTATCCATTAACACTTCATGCATACCATGCCCTGTGATTAGCACCTTACATATTGTTACAACCCTCCTATAAATTCAAATACCAAGTTTTAATCAAAGAAAAAATAAACTTTTAAAATTAATTTAATACACAATATTATATTAGTTTCAGGGATACAACAAATGACTTGATATTTATATACCTTACAAAGGGATCACCATGATAAATACAGTAACCATCTGACACTGATAATACTAGAGGCCTGGTGCATGAAATTCATACACAGGAGGACTGTTCATCAACCCGGCCTGTACCCTCTCCAATCTGGGATCCCTCTCACAATCTGGGACTGATGACTTCTGTGTTCCCTGCCAGCCTGATTGCCTCTAACTGCTTCTGCTTGCCAGCCTGATCACCCCTAATTGCTCCCCTGACTGCCTGATTGATGCCTAATTGCTCTCTCCTGCCAGCCTGATCACCCCCAACTGCCCTTGCCTGCTGTGAACCGCCTCCTATGTGCAAGGTGGTGAAGACGTTGGGACCAGCCTCCTCCATGCAGCCTGGAGCCTTGGGGACCTCCAGGCCTCATAGTGCAGGGCGGCCACTAGACCCTAACTCCACTGTGGATGTGGCCATCTTGTGGTGGCCATCTGGTGATGATGTTGTGTGAGGGCGTGACACCACCTAGGCTTTAATTATATAGGATTATTGACTATATCCCCTATGGTGTATATTACATCCACATAACACTTATTTTATAATTGGAAGTTTGTACTTCTTAATCCCCTTTACGTTTTTCACCCATCCCCTACTCCTACCTCTCCTCTCTGGCAACTTCAGTTTGTTCTCTGTATCTATAGTTTGTCCCTGTTAGGTACTGTTTGTGCATTTTTTTTTTAAAGTTTTTTTTTAGATTCTACATGAGTGAAATCATATGGTATTTATCTTTCTCTGACTGACTTATTTCACTTAGCATAATACTCTCTAGGTCCATCTGTGTTGTTGCAAATGGTAAGATTTCATTATTTTTATGGCTGAGTTAAAAAAAAAGGCGGGGGGAAATGGGGAAACAACAAAGATACAAGTGTCAAAGCTGGGATCTGAACTCACAAACCTCTTTAACATGACTTTACTTGGTTAAGACTTGAAGTGATCACAAAGATTTGCGAGTTACGCTTAGCTCTTTAGCTGGAGGAGTTAATAGATAAATCAGCTTTTATTGCAAAGACACTGTAGCTCTGGTTAAGTTCACTTGAAACATACACACTCTGTTACTATTGGTGATATTAAGAATTAAAAGTACAAACAAGTTAGGTCCAGGGCATGGGGGGAAGGGGTATAGAGGGGACAGGAAGAGACTGACCAAAGAACATAAATGCAGTCCGGCTGTGTCACTCAGTGGTTGAACGTTGACCCATGAACCAAGGGGTCATGGTTGTATTCTGGTCAGGGCACATGCCTGGGTTGTGGGTACCATCCTCAGTAGGAGGTGTGCAGGAAGCAGTTGATCAATGACTCTCTCTCATCACTGAGGTTTCTCTCTCTCTCCCTTCTTCTCTCTGATATCAATAAAAACATATTAAAAATGCACAGCCCATGACATAGACAATAGTGTGGTGAAGGCTGGGGTGGGTTAGGAGCTAGGTGGAAGGGGGCAAACAGCAGGTAATTGGGGGACATCTGTAATACCATCAACAACAAATTAAAAAAAACAACACCCCACTTATCTGAAAATTTAAAAAAATAATTAAAAGTAGTAAATATGAAAATTATTCATAAGATTCTTACATGATCAAGATGTTTCCATTCATCAGCCCATTCCCTTTCTGTCAAACGGTGGTCTACCAACTCATCTTGATAGCCTCCATTTAGACCTATTAGAAATTAGAGATTCAATTTGAGGATAGAGTGAAGAATACAGTAAGTAGAATTCTATCAAATAAATACACATTCATACGAACTATGAGTATACTATAAAAGCAATGATTCACAACAGAGTCTGGGACCCCCAAAATGACATAAAACCAACCAAAAAATTACCTCTGAGAATATATTTTAAAACTCCTATAAATCAATAATGAAAGACAAAAAAACAAAAGAAAAAGGCTTATGTCCCTTACTAAGATTGTGGTGTCTATCACGAACTTCTCGGTGTTCTAACATCTTGTTGGGCTCACGATATAGGTGGGAAGTTGCAATATCTTCTAAGGTGTAGTGCTGAAGAGGTGGGGGTGTAGGATGGAACTGGCCTCCAGGATTCATAAGGGGTACAGTGAGGGCAGGACTGTGCCGAGGAGCAGGGCTGATTGTACACACTCTCTTGGCAGGAGGTTCAGGAGGAATTGTATCTCTTTCAAAACTGTTGTCTTCCCTCCTGTAAAAAAGGTAAGTAGGTATCTGAGCCCATCAACAAATGTTCATGCAAACATATTCTTGCACATCTACATGTGCTAAGCATTTTCACAAACAGGAAGACCATAAGAAAAGGTTTGACATAAGACATGAACTGAAATGTCTTCAGAGAGATAATGGAAACTGCTGATTTATTCCAGCATAAAAATAAAAGTCAAATTCACTCACAGTAAGGCAGAAATAACTAAACCTCATGAAGCAAAATGAGAGACTAAGGAGACAATGGCATTTCCATATGATAAGAATATGGAAGACTATGGGTTCTACAATGATTAGAAATTTGCTACTGTGGAGGTCAATTACTGAAAACAGTTCTCTACATTGAAGGAAAAAGGCTGAATAAATAATAGACTTGTGAATTGGTTGGGCTTTTAGTAATTTAGCTTCAATTATAATAATTTTCCACTGCTGTTAAAATATTTCTTCTTTGGCAAACTACAAAATATTGTGGTGGACACTCATGCTGAAATATCCAGAATTAATTAAAATAATGTCAGCCTTCAAAATAATGGTGATTCATTAACATGTATTAGTAACTAATTCTTATACTTTTATAAAACCCCACACAGAAAAAAATATCTTAGGCAGCTTGTTTCTTATGGTTCTAGAACAATGGATACATAGAATATTCTAGATCAGAGTTTTTCACCAGAGGCATAGAGTCATCTGAAGCATTTAAAAAAAAAACTTATATCTGGGAGCTACACCTATAGATTTGAGAAGCATTCTGAGTGCACACCTATCTATAACTACAGTAATAAAAATTTCTTTCACAAGTAAAGAGGAAGCTCAATGGTTCCAGAAACATGAACAAGCTCTTCTCTGCTCACCTTTCTGGACTGGGCCTCTTTCCATTTCCATGTACTTCCATGAGCAGCTCTGAAGAGTCAGCAGGTGAAGCGATACTTGTGTTGAGCAAAAGGTGTTCGTGCTGAGCCAGGTACTGGGATGGGGTCTGCTTGGCAGCGCGAGCGCAGTGCAGCAGTTCTCGCTGCAGCAGGGGCAGGTTGGCCTTGAAAACAAAGAGGCAGGGTGGGAAGGCAGTTTTCCCTGGGTTGGGCTCCACACAATAGGCATTTCAAAAGGCTCTCAAACAAGATGACACAAGACCAAAGTCTTTCTTTTCAGTCTGATTTTTACATGCCTATATGAGTAAAGTGACATCTACTATAGTGAACTTGAAATGACTAGTTGACTTATCTCTTGTCTCCCCAAAATGTAAATCTACTTAAGGAAGAGAACATGCTTTATTTATTTTTATGGCCTAGTACAGAGTTAAACAAAGCTCAATAAAGGTTTGTTGAGTAATATTTTAAAGACTTACACAGTTTTGAAGACTTTGGTCAGTTAGAGAGTTAGTATGCCTTCAGGGGAGTAAGAGGAATCCACTCTTCCATCTATTACTACAAGGCTTAGTTTCTCTCTTCTGACTACTACTTACCCTTCCCTTCATGTTCTCTGTGAGAAGTGCCATGGAATTCTGGAAACTGATTATTCTAGCTTGGTTGGAACATGAGGTTTTAAAAAGAGTACTGGGAATAACTGGAATTAAGCCTTAGACTAGACTCTGAGAATACACAGGTAACCTATGGGCAGAACTGTTTTCTCAGTGTGGTACCCTCACTAGGCACATTTCTTTAATGTATAAAAGGACAAAAATCATGTACTGATTATTTTTCCTTCGCCTCAAACTGAGAAAGCCTTTAGTGTGGACAAGTCATATATATAAAAAAAAACAAAACTATATACTAGTTCAATTGAACTCTAATTCCTTCTCATATAAAGGTATTTTTCTCATATTTCTTCTATAAAAAAATAATTATATTTTTCACCCCAAATTTAAAAACAATTCAGCCCTGGCTCGTGTGGCTCAGCTTGTTGGACGGTGTCCTATTTCACCTAAGGGTTGCTTATTCAACTCCTGGTCAAGGCACATGCCCTGATTTTGGGCTCGATCCTTAGTGGGGGCATACACATTGATGTTTCTCTCTCTCTTAAATCAATAAAAAATCTTTTAAAAAAATTTCAGACCAGGCCCATAACATAAGTCTTTATTCCAATGGAAAAAGATGAACAAGTGAAAAGAGAGTTTTAATATGTGCAAGTAATCATCCCTTTACCAAGGGTTAATTTAACAGACACCATAATTTGTGACTGCTTAAAGCATAAATAAATTGGCAAAAACCCACATGCTAGCCAAAAAGCTTCCATAACAACCTACCTCATGCTGTTTTCCAAAATAACACAGTTAAGAATAGGGAATTTGATGATATAAGACAATTTAAAAAAATATATATTTTATTGATTTTTGTACAGAGAGGAAGGGAGAGATAGAAAGTTAGAAACATCAATGAGAGAGAGTCATTGATCAGCTGCCCCTTGCACACCCCCCACTGGGGATATGCCCGCAACCAAGGTACATGCCCTTGACCGGAATCAAACCCGGGACCCTTCAGTCTCCAAGCCGACGCTCTATCCATTGAGCCAAACCGGTCCCGGCGATATAAGACAATTTTAAAGTCTGTTCTATAACCTCAATCTTGTAGCAACTGTGAAAACTTAATGAAAAAAATACCATGCCAGATCTTTACATCTGTGACATGTATGTACCCTTTGATGAATTAAAAAAAAAGAAAGCTAATTTTCCCCTAATAACACAAATTGCAAAAATCCTTCATGATTCCAGAGTCTTGGGGAAAATAATTGTCTACTGGCTCTGACATACAGAAAACAGACCAAGATAGAACTAGCACAGCTGTTTAAGGGCTGAACAAGGCACCACAGGCTGCTCTGAGGGGCTGAGTCTTCATTGCTGTCAGAACAGAGCTACAATACTAGCTGTTCGCATTTTCCTCTATGTCTCCTATGCTCCCATTTAAAAGGTTTTAAAAAACCAGTAGCAGTACTTCAGGAGGATAACCAATCTTTTCTCTTTTTTAAAAAGCTGTTGCTCTCACATGTGTCCTGATCAGGGATTGAACATGCAACCTGATATGTGCCCTGTCTGAGAATCGAACCAGCCACCTTTGGTGTATGGATTGATGATCCAACCAACTGAGCCACACCAGCCAGGACAGATGACCTACCTTCTTGATGCCATTACATTTTTGTACAAAATGAAGGTAAAGTAAAAGAAGATATTTACTAGCCAGATATTTAGGCTTTGTGAGTTAAGGGGCATAATTGAGGATATTAGGTGGATACACATATACAAGATAGGAAAACAAATTTCTAAATATTATCCTGACAAAAGTCAAAATATAAAAACAGTTTGGCTCAGAGGATAGAGCATCGGCCTGCAGACTGAAGGGTCCCAGGTTCAATTCCAGTGAAGGGCATGTACCTTGGTTGAGGGCACATCCCCAGTAGGGGGTGTGCAAGAGGCAGCTGATCGATGATTCTCTCTCATCGATGTTTCTGACTATCACTCTCTCTTCCTCTCTGTAAAAAATCAATAAAATATTTAAAAAAAACAAAAAACAAAAAACAAACAAACAATTGAGTATAGTTTTTTGGTAATATCAGGCTAATGAAAAGAATGGAATTAATTTAGAAAGGGAGTGGATTAAGGAAAACAACTTAATTGGGATTCAAAGAGTGTTCCCTATTACCAAATCAATTACAAATGTTCATTTGTAAAACCAATTCTTTTAAATTTATTAATTTATTTTAATCTTTATTGTTGAAAGTATTACATATGTCCCCCTTTACCTGCTATTGGCCTCCTCCAGCCCGCCCCTGCCCCCACCACCTTATTGTCTGTGTCCATGAATTATGTATATATGCATACAATGTCTCTGCAAAGCTGCATAAAACCATGTGGTAGGCTTTATTTGGATTACAGGTGTTTAAAATATGCCTGATCTAGAGCACACTGATATCTTACTATAGTTTTTTTTATTTTTATTAAGGTATTATATGTGTACATATCTTACCATTGCCCCCTCCATACCTTACTATAGTTTTTCACTGCCTTTATGCTATCCATAACTCTGCAAATTATAGAGAACTGACAGCAATGCAAAGTAATTATTGTCTATGGACTTGCATAAAATTATGTCCAGTAGAGATTTAATTGACTTCTCTTGCCCACTGTAGACGAAGTCAATTATACCTCTGTTCATTCATATTAATAATACTGATTTTTAAATGTATTTATTCTTTGGGTTCTCTCCTGAACTGGTACTAACACCTTACTGATTCATTAATAATGAACTAAATAAAATCTATGACATGGGTTCATTTTTCCTCTGCGAGTCATAATGATGCAATACCTGGTTTTGAAAGTTATAATTTAATAGGAAGAAATAGAAACTTTATAGTGGGAAGCATGACATAGTCTTTACCAAGTGACCAAAGTCAACATCACCAATTATGAGACCAATTAACACCTATGTCTCCTGACAGAAGTTATATCTTAGCTGCTATTTACTGCCTAAAATGCATAACATGATTCTCATCATGAGGAAGTGTCAGAAAGACCACATTGAGGTACATCTATAAATTAACCATCTCATACTTTTTAACAATATCAAGATCATAAAACACTGAGAAGTTATTGTAGATTAAGTAGACTAAAGAGACATGACAACAGCCCTGGCCAGTTTGGTTCAGTGGTTGGAGTGTCTGCTTGCAGACTAAAGGGTCTTGGGTTTGATTCCTTGTCAAGGGCATATAACTGCGTTGTAGGTTCGATCCCCAGCCCTGGTAGGGGTGCATGCAGGAGGCAACAGATCAATGTGTCTCTCTCATGTCGATGTTTCTCCCCCCCCCCCCCTTCCTTTCTCTCTAAAAAACCAATGGAAAATATATCTTTGAGTAAGAATTAACAAGGAAAAAAAAAAAGAAATGACAAAAAAAAAAAAAAAAAAAAGCAAAAAAAAAAAAGCAAAATGTAATCCAAAAAATAAAAGGTTTTCTTTTGCTGTAAATATTATTAGTGGAATATTTGATGAAAAATGATAGGTTCTATAGTAATAGAATTTTATCAATTTTAATTCTTTAATTTGAAAAGTATACTAAAGTGATTCAATATATCATGTCTATAGCTTATTCTCAAACATTCCTGAGGAAAAAAAATAAATCTAAAGACAAAGAGAATAATAATCCAGATGATAAAATATTAACATCTGGGGAATCTGAGAGAAGGATACAGAAAAAATGTTCTTGTATCATTTTGTAACTATTCTGTGAGCACGAAATTATTTAAAAATAAAGATTTTTTTAAAGGACATATTACACATAAGGCTATGTTTCGGGGAACAGTAATTCCAGAGAATTGAGCTATACAATCTGGGGATACAGTGCTTTTCCAAATACTCTCCTGTCCTTAGGGCAGCAATTTTCAACCGGTGTGTTGCAGGAATTTTTAAAACATGTACATAGTACCTGACTATTTACTCAGGAGCACTGATTTCTTGTCTCTTCGATTGTAAAAAAAAAAAAAAAAGACAACAGCCAACACAACAATAGCTGTCTCATGTGAATGAACCAAAATTATACCTATTTTCTTGGTTATATCATCAAAAATTATATTCTTGGTGTGCTGCAGAATTTCGGTAATTAATTTGTGTGCCATGAAATGAAAATTACTGCCTCAGGGTTAGGAGTCTGAGCTGCAAAGACCTCTCTCTGTCTGATAGCCTCCTCATAGATAAGACATTTCTTCACAATCTGGCCACAACCCAAAGATTTAGTGTCTAGTTATTTCTGCTAAGACCCCAGCCTCCATACCACCCCTATACCTCTGGTCCATTCACAGGATCTATTGTGTGTTATTAGCAGAATCTGCATATGAACCACAACGCAAGGCTTTTGTAAATCTCAAGTATAAGACTCACCTGCAGACTGCACTCACATTTTTCTAGCAGCCCAAAATAAAGATATGAAAATGTGCAAGCTGCCCAAATTTAGATCACAGAACAAGGATCAGTAGCAGGTCTTGAGGAAATGTTAAGGTAAATAATTACATTCAGTAATTATCTCATAAAAATTACCTTGAGGAATGGAATCACAAAAGGACGAAGAGGAAAGTTTGTAGCTTCTTGGAGCTTGCAATGGAATTCTTCAATTGTTACTGTTGAGTTCTGAAAAGAGAAATAAATAACCTTCTTCAACTTCTAAGAGTAGACACTGTCCTCATATAAATCCCTTTTAAGTCACAAAGTACAATATAATTTCAAGAGTACTATTGTGATCTCAGATCCTTCTCAAAAGTTAACCAAATTATTTCCTTTATAAACAAAGTTTGACTGTCCTTTCTTTACTACCCCAATCTATCTATATTCCCCTCAAGGTCAGCAGCCTGGGCTGCAGAATAGGGCGCCGTCTTTCTCACTGTGAAGACAGGCACCCAGGTCCTTTGTACTGCAGGGGTCATGGCAACACCTCAGGCACAGGAACCATATTTACAATGTTTGCAGTTGAATAGATTCGGATCAGTCTAGGACACATGTGTCAAACACAAGGCCCGCGGGCCAAATCCGTCCTGCCAGGCCTTACAATGTGGCCCGCACCGCGCTGTCATCACTGCACTCCGCTGCGTTTCCATCACAATGACAGTTTATGATTGTTCAGTAAACCATTCGGCCCGCGATTTAGGCTGGATTTTAGATTTTGGCCCCTTCTCTGATTGAGTTCGACACCCCTAGTCTAGGATGTCAACTTAAAAGACTCAACCCAGTGCCTCATCCTTCAGAAGTTGTTTTCTTCATAGGTTCTGCCTATCTCTTAGCATCAGTTCCCAGAGTCTTCTAAATTCAAAGTAAAAAAAAAAAAAAGCCAAACACGTGCCTTCTGCATTGAAGGGTTGTTACAGTTTTGCAAATCTCTTTCATATCTAGCTTAATAAAAGACAGCTGGGTTCTTCAAGATGCTTCAACATTTAATCTGTTGCAACATCCTATATCAAACAACCTCTAGAAAATTCCATCACACTCACGAGAGAATAAGAGTGAAAAGGCAAGTAACATCTTAGTATGATTATGAAAATAATTTTTACCTCTTGGGCTCTCTAACAGTCTAAGAGAATCCCAGGGGTCCCTGATTATACTCTGAAAAGTGCAACATGAAAGTTTAATACTGTGATTCATCTTTACCACATATAGAGGCTAACATGGAGGAGCATGGGGTGCTTTTACTGGAAATAAATCTTGAAGAATTCGATTTACAAACTTTGGGAACTGATAGAACTTCCCTTATCTACACTGAAGAGTCAAACCCTACCCTGCTATCAGTCAGAAAAATCACTCCTTTTTACCATGGGTTCACCACACTCAGTACAGCATTGAAAGAAAAATTGTGTGAACCTTAAAAACTCCAAAGAAACTGTATTTTCATGAGGAGCTGTAGAACACTTCTTTAATATCATTTAATACTATTTGTTTAAATAATGAAATTTTTAATTTTACAAATTATTTGTCTGAAAATTAAGCTCTATACTTTTCCTTTTTCTCTGGCTTGGAAACAATGCACCAGGCACTGACTATATTAAGTAACAAAGCCTGTTGTTAATTTGGTTGAACCTCAATGGCTTGTTGAAACTCAGTTTTAAGGCATATTCAAAGTTTCTTAATGGAATAAATCAACAACATAAGAAACTATTAGGTAAACATTATAGATCTGTTCTTTGATAAACTTATTTTAATGGTTTCAGAGAGAGGAAGAGAGAAGGATAGAAACATCAATGAGAACCATCGATTGGCTGCTTTCTGCACACCCTCTACTGGGGACAGAGCCTATAACCTATGCATGTGCCCTGACAGGGAATTGAACTGTGACCATCTGGTTCATTGGTTAATGCTCAACCACTGGGCCACACTGGCTGGGCTTGAAAAACATTTTTATAAACGATTGAAATCCACAAATTAACAATTTTACACAAGTTATATTAATAACTAATCTAGTTTGTAGATTTTGCCACATTGCTACAGGATTGGGAGTGAGCAGAAATATTTACAGCTTCTCTGCTGGCTTCAGTTTTGAATCATATATGCAGGCAACTGTTGACTGTGATGCTGTACTTACCACCAGTGCTAGAACAAGTGTCCGAACCTTCTCCCCAATCTCAGGTGAGATGTCATTGCCAAACTGTTGCAGAGTGGTGAGAAAGCGTTTTAACTTGCTGAGTTGCCGAGCACCACAGGTGGCTGGCAGTTGTTGATTTGTTAGTGCAGATGACGTGGAAGAGGCAGGACCATTGCTGAATCTTTGTGGTGGTGATGGGGCACCGTTCAGGGTAGGAGGAGAATGGTTGGTGCCATTGCTTACTGAAAGAAAGCCAAAGAAAGACTCAATGCAAAACACAAGAATCTTTGATATATCCTTCTTGTTTGCATTCTCCATTTATTCACTCCAATTTTGTAAAGCACGTGTTAAGAGTACACAAGACACTATTTCTTTTCTTTTTTTTAATATATTTTATTGATTTTTTTACAGAGAGGAAGGGAGAGAGATAGAGAGCTAGAAACGTCGATGAGAGAGAAACATCGACTAGCTGCCTCTTGCACACCCCTTACCGGGGATGTGCCTGCAACCAAGGTATTATATTGTACATGCCCTTGACCGGAATCGAACCCGGGACCTTTCAGTCTGCAGACCGACGCTCTACCACTGAGCCAAACCGGTTTTGGCCACAAGACACTATTTCTAACCAACAAGATTGAGACATACTGTCAGTTAAAAAAAATAACAGAGTAACATAAAAGGTACTAAAACAGAAGAGTAGAGTACTACTAGAGCAAAAAGAAGGACATCTAATTCTTCTAAGTCTTTCATTAAAAAGATCACTAGAGCTACTGGAAAGAAAGCTCTACACTCAGCTTCAGCAATCCTGTAAATTAGTTGCAATGGTCTGCCATTTCTTTGTGTTCACAGAAAGGTCAACTGCCTCTGGAGAGCTGCCCTTTTTTGAAACAGCCCATTAGAATAATACATTATTGTGCTTTTATCCACTCTGATGCCCAGACAAGCTTTTTCATGCCTCTTTAGTGAAAGCATATGATTACATATTCTGAAATAAAACATGTCCACCCCCAAGTAGTCAAATATGGAGGTAAAAAGGACCAAATTTATATATACATATCCCCTGTGTAAGCTTGTGCAATAGTGTTTAAATAAGAAAATGCATATAGCACCTAGTACATTGCTCTAACTTGATATGGATGGGTAGTATCCAAATAGAAATTTTCTGCTTTATGAGGCTAAATGTTGTATGGGTCAATGTGAACTGGATGTAGCATGGGCATGGAAAGACAGAACACAAATTAAAATCTAGATATGTGTGTGTCTCTCTCTAGATTTTAGATTTTAAATTGAAGCTTTTGTTGTTGTTTTTAATATATATGTATGACTGAATTTGTTAAGTTATAAAATTTGTGAAAATTCAGCTTTAGAAGATACTGCCAAACAATTTTGTCATACTTAAACAATGTGTGAGTGTTCAGGTTGCTCCACACATACTCACCAACACTTGACAATTCTTTTCACTTTGAACATTCTTGTGGGTGTACATGGTATTGCTCTAGATTTTAGTTTGCATTTCCTGATGACTACTTAAGTTGAACACCTCAGACTTACTGGCTAATATATCAATAATTATTTTTTTAAAATATATTTTATTGATTTTTTACAGAGAGGAAAAGAGAGGGATAGAGAGTTAGAAACATCGATGAGAGAGAATCATCTATCAGCTGCCTCTGGGGATGTGCCCACAACCAAGGTACATGCCCTTGACCAGAATCGAACCTGGGACCTTTCAGTCCGCAGGCCAATGCTCTATCCACTGAGCCAAACCGGTTTCAGCAAATTCTTATTAGCTGAATTCTGTCCCCTATAAATTCCCATGTTGAGGTTCTAACCCCTCAATAGTTCAGAATGTGACTATATTTAGAAATAGGACCTTTAAAGGTTAATTGATGTCATATGGGTAGTCCCTGATCCATTATGACTGTTTTCCTTAAGAAGAGAAAGGGACAACATTAATGTGTTGGCACAGAGGCAAGGGCATGGGAGATTATAGCAAGAAGGCAGCTTTTGCAAGCTAAGGACAGAGGTCTCAGGGGATAAAAAATCAAACCTGCTGACACCTTGATCTTGGATTTCTATCCTCTAGAACAGTGTTTCCCAAACTTTTGACATATGTGTACCCCTTCTATAATTTTCGTAATGCTGAGTACCCCTCAAAAAAAAAATTTAAAAAATGGATGTATTAGGCACAGCGAGGCACGGTGCAGTGCATATCCCCACCAAACTCCGATGCAACACCTACCCCCACCAAACTCTTCCCGTACCCCTGGGGGTACGTGTACCACACTTTGGGAAACACTGCTCTAGAACTTTAAAAAAAATGAATTTCTATTCTTTAAACTACCTAGTCTATAGTATTTTGTTATGGCAACCCAAGCAAACTAATACAATATTCTCTTTTTTGTAAAGAGACTTATTAGCATGATCGTCCTGGAAAACTTTTATAAATAATTCAATAACTTTATGAATCTTACTTTAATTCCTATAAATCAATCTAACTTTAATTCATTATTTTAGAATTCAAGAATTTAAAACACCTACTTCCCAGACAAAGAGTATAAAAAAAATATAAGGACTATTAAATTTCCAAATGCCCAAATTAGCTAAGTACTATTCTCAGAGGACAAAAGCAATCTATAAAAGAAATAACCATGCCGAAACCGGTTTGGCTCAGTGGATAGAGCATCGGCCTGCGGACTGAAGGGTCCCAGGTTCGATTCCGGTCAAGGGCATGTACCTTGGTTGCGGGCACCTCCCCTGTAGGGGGTGTGCAGGAGGCAGGTGATCGATGATTTTCTCTCATTGATGTTTCTAACTCTCTATCCCTCTCTCTTCCTCTCTGTAAAAAAAATCAATAAAATATATATATTTAAAAAAAAAGAAATAACCATATATACATTTCTGAGATATTTCTCTTTTAATAGCCATTTTAAAAAGCTTGTGAATGATATATGCAGAAGGCTTAATGGGAGCCAGTCACTTAGATACAAATGTCACTCTGAATCACAAACTCAAGTAACTAAGAGTTCTCACACGCTGTAGGAGTAAATGACACTGGTCTGGGTCCTCCAGGATTTATTGGTGGGAGGGGTGGCATGGTGGGAGGTGAGGATCTTGTCTGTATCTTCACTTCCACAGGCGATCCAGGCATTGCTGGCACCCTTTTCTCAGGACCAACTGTAGAGAATAAAAGAAATGGAGGTCAGAGTTTTCTATAAAATAATAAAAATAGTGACAATAATTTGAAATACTAACATACTGGTATTTTCCTAGAGGACTGAGAAGAAAATGCTTAGTTTAATAGACTGAATAGTGGTCCTCAAAAAGATATCTACCTCTCAATCCCTTGAATTGTAAATGTTTCCTTATTTCGAAAAAGGGTCTTTGAAAATGTAGTTAGTTTTGAGAGGAGGAGATAATCCTGGGTTATCTGGTGGGCTCCAATTCCAATAGAGGCAGTCCGTAGGACTCGATGAACATTGTTTTGTGGTTATGTCGCCATCTCCCATTTATATGTTTTTAAAAAGTTCTGTCATTTTGACATATGTGCATATGTGCTTTATGTCTTTTATTATTTATTTACCACAAGAAAAGGTCAGGAATTATTTTTCTTTTAAAATTTTTTAGTTTCACTTCATTACTGCTGTGTATGTGCTCCATGTGAGTGACGTAGGTGCTTATGTAGATGGGTTCTGACTTATGGTGAAAATCGCATTATATCGCGCCATAGGAATGGCTCTCCAATGTAACCTGAGAACCTACTGTATAAAGGAACCCTCATGAGAAGAGCTGAAGAGATACATACACAAACAGAAGATTACATGGAGACACAATCATACAGAGAGGACACAGTGTGACAATGGAGGCAGAGATTGAATGAGGCATCTAAGGCCAGGAATGGCAAGGGTTATCAGCCAGCACTAGAAGCCAGGAAGAGTGGTATGGAATTGATTCTTCCTCTGAGGCCTCAAGAAGGAATCAACCCTCCTGATACCTTAATTTTAGACCACTGGCCCCCTGAACTATGAGAGAAGATTGTTGTTTTAAGGCACCCGGTCTATCGAACTTTGCTACAGCAATCCTAAAATACTGAAACAAGGCAACCAGGTCCAAGATTGATGAGAACAGAAAGTTATCAGTGAGGATAGTGGCTGGGAAAGAAAAAGAAAAAAAACAGTTTATAAATTCTGCTGCTCTCAACTACATTCTGTATAACTTCTCTTTATAAGTGAATCAAGTTAATAGGAGAAAAAAACTAATGGGGAACTATTTAGATCAGTAAGTATCAATAATCAGTTGTATATAAATTACTATGAGTGAAATACTAAATTTTTGTTGTTGTTGCTAATCCTCACCCAGGGATATATTTTTAAAATATATTTTATTGATTTTTTATAGAGAGGAAGGGAGAGGGATAGAGAGCTAGAAACATCCATGAGAGAGAAACATCGACCAGCTGCCTCCTGCACACCCCACACTGGGAATGTGCCCGCAACCAGTGTACATGCCCTTGACTGGAATCGAACCTGGGACCTTTCAGTCCACAGACCAACGCTCTATTCACTGAGCTAAACCAGTTTCGGCCCCAGGTTATTTTTCAATTGATTTTACAGAGAGGAATAGAAAGTCAGAAACATCAATGAGAGAGTAACATCGACCAGCTGCCTCCTGCACACCCCCTACTGGGGATATGCCCGCAACCCAGGTACATGCCCTTGACCGGAATTGAACTGAGATCCTTCAGTCCGCAGGCAGATGCTCTATCCATTGAGCCAAACCAGTTTCTTTCAATTGACTTTTAGAGTGTGGAAGAGAGGGAGGGGGAGAAACATATATGAAAACATTGATGTGAGAGACACATTGATTGGTTGTCTTCTGCCAATAGGATAGAACCTGCAACCTAGGTACGTGCCCTTGACTAGGAATTGAGGCTGGGCCCTTCAGTGTATGAGTGGACACTCTAACCATCAAGTAATACTGTCCTGGGCTAAAGCACTAAATTTTTATACATATCAACTACTCTAATAGGAAAAAAGATGTGGGTTCAACATTTTTAATATCAGGCATCTAAATGTCACTTATAAGATTTGTTCAAAAAGATGAAAAGTAGAAATAATTCTAAACCAAGCATAGACTACTTCACCCATGGAGATAATACATAAACAGTGTTTGATAACACTAGACAGCAACAAATTCTAGAAAAGATAAATTTTATCGATTATACTTAATGACATTAGAATTAGGACTGAGCTCATATATAAATAAGATTTGAGCCCTAGCTGGTTTGGCTCAGTGGACAGAGCATCAGCCTGTGGAAAGAAGAGTCCCATGTTCGATTCCAGTCAGGGCACATGCCAGGGTTGCGGGCTTGATCCCGTGTGGGGTGTGCAGGAGGCAGCCAATAAATGATTTTCTCTCATTGATGTTTCTCTCTCTCTCCCTTTCCTTTCCTCTCTGAAATCAATAAAAAATATTTTTTAAAAAGACTTGATTCTGAAGAGTAATATTTTAATATCTTCGAAGTAATTTTCCCCATTAAAGGAAACTTTTTATATACTTGGTTAATAATAGAGCCAAGGCTACCATAATCACCTTTAAATTGAGCTATTTGCCTTTCAGTAATTCAAAGTTTTTCACTTAAGTTCCATGTACTTATCCTCCAATAAATTCAAGTGAAGTACAAGAAATGGACACCAAAGGTTCAAATGAGAATGTTAAATCAAAGATTTCTTTCAGTGGCATCACAGTTGTAAACAATACATACAAGAGCATTCATGGCATGGCAATAAGCACATCTTCGCACATTCATGGGCATGGTCTAATGAGGGAAATATCCCCAAATATTATTTTTAATGCTTCAATTTGCCACATTTTTGGGAAGAAATATAATGAATGCAGGAAGTCAATCAAGGAAGCAATGTTCCTAAATTGCAAATTCCCCAACAAAAATGTGCAGCTCTCCAAGAGCCATGTGGGCAACACTCTGCCAGCCTTCCCCGTCTCTCTGTCCAGGACATGTTCTTTGTAAAATTGATGGTTGTCCTGTCTGATTAGTGGACTAATGAGCTGTTGCGCTTGCCTTTTTCTTCTTGACAGTATTTTCTCAATGCCCTTCAGAGAAAAGTTGACACATTTCCAGCACTTCCATCTGGGGCCCAGCTTTCTGGAGGACTGGGGACGGGGGTAGGGAAGGAAGGTACTGACAGTTGTCTCGCACTGTTATGTGTTGTGTATGGTGTGCAATAACCGAGAGGGAGCCTTTCTTCAGACCACCTGCCTTTACAGTAAGGGTGCCAAAGGCCTGAAAAGGGCTTAGCAATGAGGTGTGTTTTAACATTCAGTACATGGCAGAATGAAAAACCTCAGAGCTGCCCAAATGCAGAACGCTAAATAATATACCAAGTAAAGCTTAGATACTGGGTAAAACTTAGCCCCCAGAGTACTATTTACAGATTAAAACTACCCATCTCTTGTTGAGGTCACTATTCACAAACCTGCAACACTAGTTATTCCTCATGTTTCAAGCAATGAAAAAGCATGAGTACAGAGACTTAAGAGATTTGCTGTGAATCCTCATTCTGTTACTAATGAATTTTTATCAAATAATTTAATTTTTGTGAGTAAAATTTTCAACACTAGTAGCCTAGTGCACGGACTCATGCACACTGTAAGGTAATTAATTAGAAATTAATATTTTAATATTGCTATTCACCCTTTCTCTATAATAGAAGTGTAAGAGATTCAAGAAAATTAGTAAGATGTATACGGAAATAATATATAAATTGATTAATAAATAATAACAACAACATGATACAACAACACAAAGACATGATATAAAAACATTGATAAAAATAATGACTGGTAAATTGATTAAACTTATTCTAATATATCCCTGTATACCACATTAAGAGTAAAATAACTTTCCAAGTACTTGACTAATTCAATTCCCCTTGTGATGAAGTATTTACAACTTTAATGTTACACACTCTTCAAACTTGAGAAAGCAACATATAACTGACTGTCTCCGAAAACTGATTCAGGCAGGACTATTCATACCCTGTCTAGAGTTTGTCCTTGTGATTTATTAATAGTCACTGCAAATCAAATTCAACTACTAAGCCACATCAGCTGGGCAAAACCACATTTTTTTTAAAACAAATCAGACTCCTAACTAAAAAACAATTGGGAAGTTTTAAAGAGAATGATCTTTGGAGGCAGAGGCCAAAGGTATATAATTTTGGGTTTTTTTTGTATGTATAAACATACATTTATATGTTCAAAATCAATATAAAAAGAAATATTCCTTGCCTGTGTCCCTACAAACTCCACTCCATAGGTAACCATTTTAATTGGTTTCTTATGTATTCTTCCATTCTTTCTAGGTACAAATAAGCAAACATAAATTCTTATCCCAGCCCAGTTGGTATGGCTCAGTGGTTGAGGTTGACCTATGAACCAGGAGGTCACGGTTTGATTCCCGGTCAAGGCACATGCTCAGGTTGCGGGCTCAATCACCAATATGAGATGTGCAGGAAGCAGCCAATCAATGATTCTCATCATTGATGTTTCTATCTTTCCCTTCCCTTCCCTCTCTAAAATCAATAAAAAATATTTTTAAAAAAATTCTTATCCCAGCCGAAACTGGTTTGGCTCAATGGATAGAGTGTTGGCTTGGGGACTGAAGGGACCCGGGTTCAATTCCGGTCAAGGGCATGTACCTCGGTTGCGGGCATATCCCCAGTGGGGGGTGTGCAAGAGGCAGCTGATCGATGACTCTCTCTCATCGATGTTTCTAACTCTCTATCTCTCTCCCTTCCTCTCTGTACAAAATCAATAAAATATATTAAAAAAAAATTCTTATCCCAATCCCCATGTATATACAAGGGTAACATAGTTACATTAAACTGAACACTCCCAATAATGACCTCTCTTGTTCAATCCCTTTTGCAATGCACCAGGAAGTGAGTTCTATTCCTATCTCCTAAACCAGGCCAAGCCATAAACTTCCTTTGGTAATGTGATGGGAGTTACAGAGTGCCAGTTCTAGGCCTCTCTTGGAACCCTGGTTCTGCCATTAAAGCAAATCCAACTAGTCTACTGGACGATGACACCACATGGAGCAGAGAGAGATGAGCTGTACCATCTAAAGCCAGCTGAACCCCAAACATGTGAGAGCC